TATAAATAAATAATAAATATAAATAATTTTCAAATATCTCTGTTGTTGCTTTAAAAATGCTTCAGTAAATATCAAAAGATGACAATCTGCTCCTTTCAGTCACCACAAATGTTTTTGAACATGCACAGAAAGTTAAAAAAATAGCTGTATTCTATAAAAAAATGGCTCGTAATTGTCACATTAACATATCTTTTTATGCAAAAACTTACTTTTCAAAGTTTTTTCACATTATACAGTCAACTCATGTCTCAGTGTTGCCCTGCCCTAACACTGGGATTTGCATCCCTCCACTGAAATATAGAGTTCAAAAGCATTTCTCCACACATCTCGGTCTGTAAGGGGCTTCATGATAGTGACTATGAAAAGTAAAGTAAAACACTATGTGGCACCGGCTGGTAATGTGGTGGCACTGACTAATATTAATTTCTTTCTGTCTTTTTTCTGTACCAGGAAACTCAGCGTTTACTTGCAGAGCCTGTCCCAGGCATCAAGGCAGATCCAGATGAAGGCAACGCCCGCTACTTTCATGTGGTCATTGCTGGACCTCAGGACTCCCCTTTTGAGGGGGGTACATTTAAACTTGAACTGTTTTTACCAGAGGAATATCCCATGGCAGCTCCTAAAGTACGCTTCATGACCAAAATATATCATCCCAATGTAGACAAGTTGGGAAGAATATGTCTAGACATTTTGAAAGGTAAGTCAGAACTCTGTAACGTTACAGCTTATGCTTGGCCAGTCACGTGTGGTCTACATTGTGCTTGACCTTTTTAAAGGACATATTTTCAGTTGACAGAAAATGTGTCTTTTCCAAACAGTCACTTTGCATCTGTTGTGTCTTTGCTCTGTGGAGTCAGGCTTTACTAGACGTTACTGTAGGAGAGCCTGTATGTATTGTGTCCTGTGATGTTTGGCCTGTGATTGAAGTGAGGGATTTGCCAATTTCATCTTGCTCAAAAGATCAAAGGCCTCTTGCGGTACTTTTGTGACACCTAACTGGAGCTTTGTGCCTATGCTGCATATCAGCACTGTCTCTTCACTGCCCCTGTAGCTTCAAATGGACACACTATTCCTGTGCATCTTCTTTACTCCCCCCTCTCTTTCAGTGTCTGACACATTGTCCCTCTGCTTTTCTTGGTCTCAGTCGCATTAATCCCTCTGTTTGCAATTTTTTCAGATAAATGGTCGCCAGCTCTGCAGATTCGTACAGTGCTGCTATCTATCCAGGCGTTACTAAGTGCCCCCAACCCTGATGATCCCCTAGCCAATGATGTTGCAGAGAAGTGGAAGTCCAATGAAGCTGAAGCCATAGAAACAGGTGAGAGCTATGATCTGGATGGGTTCAACAGAGGGTTTGTTACGTTTTTCATCCAGCTCTTGCCTAGTGCGTCATTCGGATTAAAGGGATATCCAGCCTCAATACACACGTGTGCAAAAAAAACCTTCACTTTGCATTTTGGGCAGGACTTTATCTTGAACTAGTATTATTTATACCATATCCCTATTGTATACTGTATATCTTGGTTACTGAAATGTGATGAAGCTACAATATTAGAAATCATTTTTTTATCAATATACTGTATGTTAATACTTTGGTTTGCTTAATTCATGACCCCATTGACTTTCTCATGATTTTTGTGTTGCATATCTATTGTGTTTGCATTTGCTGATATTTTTATTCAATTATTTTATTTTTACGTAAGTTTTAATTTATTTAATGTTTATTTTTAATCAGGTAATTACAAAAAATACTGTCGTCCATGCTTTTGCACCCTTTACATGTCTGACCATCCTGGTTGACGATGAGTTTTCCCTTGCACTCATTGAGGATTTAATGTTTGTGTATGTATGTGTGGGTATGGGGGTCATTACATTAATGTTTCTTAATGCAGGCTTTGTAAAAAAAAAAAAAAAAAAAAAAAATTGAAAAAGCTGTATTGGAAATTTGTGACTCATGTTCATATTCTTTTTGTATTTTTTTTTTTTTATTTTACAGCCAAGTCATGGACCAGGCTTTATGCTGGAAACAAAAATGAAGTGTAGAGCAGTCTAACAAGTGGAAGTCAAGTGTGAACACTGCTCACGTTCTGCCAAGACCTCTTCCGACTTCATTTCCATTTAAAGGACACGTTCTTAATATACATATATAATATAAAATAAACATGAATATATTGTAAAGGAAAAACAGCTGCTGACAATTGATGATTTAAATGCACACTAATGAAATGACTTGTCTTTGTCCTAACTCACTACTGTTCAAATGCATGGGCAGAGGTTTTAGTCCTACTCACGTGGCTTTCTATGTCCATTGATTTTCAAAGGCTTTTGCCAACTGCTGCTTTAAAACAAGCATGTTTAGCAGGGGAAAGAGTGTCCTAAGTGGAACGTGTGGGGAGGAGAGGAGAGACTGGCTAGATGTGGCCCATAGTGTATACTTTTTATATTTCTTTTTACTTAGTTTTATCGCTGTTTGTTTATTAAAAGCAGCTAACTACTACTAGCCTACTGTATGTAGACACTCACCTGGAGGCAGACCAGTTTTTTGTAGACGGCCTAGCAGGACAAACAGTCATAGCCCTACTTATTATTTAAGTCATCTGGCTGCATTAAATACTAAATAATATGACTGAAAACCAAACTGAGCCTGCCACTGTCACATTAACTTTTTCAACCACCCCTTGCGTAAAGTGTAGACTTGTGGATGGTGTGGGAGGGAAGCGTGGACACTGTGGACCTTTTTTCTTAGTTTTAGCACATATGTTTTCTTACCATATCCAGTCTTTTATATGTGAATCTTTCTCCTGATTGCCAAACTAACTACTTTGTACCCCCCGGTATGTCATCACAGTCTAATGTTACAAAACTCAGTGGTTTACTTCTTCCAATGGCATTTATTTCACAAAGCAGTTGTTACATTTGAGCTGTCAGTTGTTTGATGATGCGAGTTCGGGTGGGTCTCATCTGTATGAGAGGAGGTGCTGGGTCGTTACGGGATCAAACTCCAGAAGATCAATGAAGGCTTTGCTTCTCAATTGTCGTGATAGGTCTTTGGCTGAAAAGTCTGTATTCAGTGAAGTGTTTGTAAATTCATTCTTTCTATTAATCTGGGGCAGAAATGTTTTCCTACACTCAGAATGCTCTGAAAGAGTCCACCTGCATACCATTATGTTCTGTAAATAAATCTGTTGATTAATATATAGTTGGCTGGGTGTATTTATTAGCAGTTGGCAAGACCAGGGCTCCATTGTGGGCACCGCTATGCTCATTTAGACAACATGTGGACACATCTTTATACACACGATACTATGATACCATGCTGTTGATTTAAACCAGTGGTTCTCAAACTTTTTGTCACGCGCCCCATTAGAAGGCAAAAAACGTTCAAGCCCCCCGACTCCAGCTAAAGTGGATTTCATTTTTATCCATCATTAACAACACGGCGATTGACATAAAACACAAGATTCAGGCTAGTAAAATAGCCTTGCTTGCCACCACATGAATCACATGCATGCAGCTTTAGGTCTGCTCAACATCCATGCCCCCCCCTGCAGTGGCACTATATGGCCCCCATTAGCCAGTTTGACAACCACTGATATAAACCATGAATAAATACCAACTCTCCCTAAATGCACTAAACTCTTATTAACTTTGTGCTTAATGCAAATCAAACCAAATCCATGCTGTTCTCTAAACTTTGTGCCTAAAACCTTCACACAGTTAACAGAAGAATAAGCTGTGTGTCCTCTCCAGCCACATGGGTCTGGTTCAGTCAGATGAAGTGAAAAGTTTAAAAGGGTCTTCAGAGTTGTCCCACTGGCCTGGAAAATTGAAGCTTGTATGCTTGCACGCCCCTGACATTTTAGTAATTATCTTTGGAGAGTCCTGGTCCTTGACTTTTCACAACCCTTTTAATCCTCATGTGAGCTTAGTGCTGCTTCTGATGTGGGTCAGTTTCCTTCATAATTCCTAGTATTCAAGACCTGGTTACTGCCAATCAGATGTCTGAGTCCTACGGTTATGAATGTCCATGTTCTGATTTATAGAATCAGTAGGCTATACCACGGACAATACACATCCAACTAGACCCTGTCATTTTCAAAGACTTCTTGTGGTTTAAAGACAATCTACATCCACTAGAGGGAAACCCTGAGTTTTGTAACTTCACATTATTTGCTTCACTACCTAACTACAAGAAATATACTGCTGTAAATAACTGGTTCTGCACTGAGATGAACAGGGTTTGAGGCGTCCATTGTTTTGTTTATTTGACCTTAAAACAGTTGGGAACGGCCTTTATGCTTGTTTCAGTTACTGTGGGAAGTTAGGTAGTCATGAGAATCCAAGTGTGACTGATAAAGCCCCTCCCCACATGTACCTTAGTTCTGCAGACTTGTGAGTTCAGGCAGCAGATTATGTAACAAATCAACAACTAGCTATCAGCTTATTTATTCAATTCATACCACTTCTAAACTGTCAGTATCATGTAATTGCTGATATAAATATAAATGTAATACAAATTTGCTGCAATTGGTGAAAAGAAGGGGTTATTTATTTAGGTATTTATCTGGGTGTTTTTGTTTGTTTTTGTTTCTGTCAGTGTAGAAATTGTCGGCCCCCTTCCATTCCCCCTTTTTTCTATATATGTTAAGTAGAGATTAAAGTGGAGTGAAATGAGGAAATGGGAGTTTTAATGCTGTTAAATTGGTTATATGCTGTAAACTGATAATAAAAATGATCTTAAATAATAATATCTGACATAGAATTCACAAATCTTAAACTATTAGTTTAAAATCGCCTGCTTTGTTAGTATCCCACACGAAAAGGCACTCAAAAAATCTTCAGAGCAACTTAAGTTTGGTGTTTGGTAAGAACTCACGAGCGGCACTTGAAAGCAGCATTAATTCTGAGAAAGGCATCGCTCACGCACGATGATACTAGGCAACCACGGCCACGCGGAGCTGAACGGAGACACGTGACCCATGTTTGGCTTATTAATCGTCGTGTTAATGATGAACATGAAGCTCTGTGTAACGCGGGGGCAAACAGGCAGCTTGTTGAGCAGCTCTCAGGTCAGCTGCTAGCTGACCACTGAACACAGATGTGAGCGAGATTCTTGTATTATGCTTGTTGACAGCGGCACTAAACCGCCGTGGTCGGTACAATATACGACCAGACGCAGTCTGACATTGACCAGGGATGAAAGAACCGACTTCACACTTTGTCACTGGGACTAGGTCTCTGAAGAAGGTTAAACTGAGAAGATTTCGGGGAGATACGCTGCTCCTGCCCTCCCACTTGCTCGGAGAGCCGAAGGTACGTTCTTCAGGTCTGGTTGGATCCAGATTTTGGCTTTTGCCAACACTTTTTTGACGTTTCCTGGCACTCGACGATTGGCAACATAAATGATGAAGTACAAGCCCAACCAGACCAGGACGTACGACGGCGAAGGGTTCAAGAGAAGAGCGGCGTGTGTGTGTTTCAAAAACGAACAAGAGGACGAAGTAAGTGTCCGTCGACGGCTGAAGCTGGTGGTTAAACCAGCTTGCAGTTAGGGGAGGGCAAATAAAGTTTATTTTTGACAAAGTCCACATTTAGCTAACTCCTGACATCTGGCTTACTATTATACACTACCCTGCTTTATCAGTGTAGCTAACAGACCTGTCTCACACACACAACGCAGTTTAATATTTGTGTGCATGTGTGTGAGAGTGCGTTCACGTGTCTGATACCTTTCATTGAGGTGTTGGACAGAGATGAACATAACGTGGCTGAAGGGCCAAATACTTTACCCATTAAAACAACAGGTGGCACCAGTACTGTAACCAACACCCAGCAGGAGACCATCGTTTTCATTTCCTGTCCAGGAGGAAATCCAGATAAGTCATAATTCATAAAGACAAGGCGTCCTCCTTGTGTCCTGGCAGTGCAAACTGTGCTGGCTGAAGTGTTATTCTACAGTGCGCAAGAATTTATTTTGATTTATATTTCTTCACAGCAGATGCATTTCATAGATGTAATATAGCATGTGATTATAACCTTCAGTGCCACCTCTTCTATGTGATGCACTGCAGCCTATAAATACCATCTGTCATAATATCTTGTACAGGCTAATTTCCCTATCAGCACGTATCATTGTGATCACTCATCCTTTGCTGAGACACCATGCAACTTCTGCACTGTTGCTGCTACATTTCTTACAATCTGTGCAATTGTGTGTTTTTGCTTGCTCTAAGCTGTAGTATGATTGCAAGGGAGTGCAGCAACATTAGTCTTGTCATGTTTAGTCTGTATTGAAATATACCTCCATAAAGGAAAATTAGCATAGGCAGGACTCACCCACTCAAAAATGCTTATCTTTAAATTAAAGGAGGGATTTCTGTAGTCAAATGTGACATGTCACCTCAGATACTAATATCAAAGGCCAAGGCCGTAGAATTGACACTACCAACTTCCAGCGACTACTGAATGGTCCCTAGAATTCATTTGGATCAAAACAATTAAAAATAACCACTTAAGACTTCAAATTTGATATGTAATTTCAAATCTTCTTAAAATGTACAAATGTGTGGTGTGTTAACAAGGTGACATTAAATGTCTGTCCTTGTCAAATGCAACATGCCACCCAACTGGGTAATGTGGCTAATGATGAACTTTAAAATGTGTATGTCCCCCATTTGACTTATTCTACAACTAACATGAATTCTTTAAAAAAACATGTAAAGATTGCAGGCATTCATTTTTCCCTTGATGGTGCTAAAATTAAGGGGATTTTTAGTTGGGGTAATAATTTAGACTGAGTTAATATGGATGTTTTTCAATAGGGACAGGGGCTGTCCTAGATCACAAAACGTGTCTGCCCAGTGACGGCGGCCCATCTCAGGACCACATGTGATAGGGGGAGTGGGGTCGTAGGGGCCTGGTTAGGGGGTTGAGTGTTACACTGTGTGCTAAACACCAAGTGACCTATCGGCTGCAATTTATAGAAACAAGGTGCAGGCACTTGCTGTCCCCTGACAGATTTGCTTTCCTGTCTCTCTCTCTCTCTCCCAATTCAGCTTTATTGGCTTGAATTTCAAACAATATTGCCAAAGCTGAAAATATAATGCAAAAGAACAATTCATTTCATACTGTTCATTAAATAAAAATAAATAAAAAGTAAGTGTGTTTGTTAAAATAAATATTTAAAAATAAATAAAGAATAATAATAAAATACAACAGTAAGTTAGTCTGAGACTGTGATGAAAAGTAACAGAGAGAGCTGATTTTCATCATAGTCTGGTCTCTCTTGTTCATCTGTGACTGAGTGCTGACATACGCTAAAAGTCTGTTTTGATTATTGTTGATTGCACCGGAAGATGATGAAATCACATCTCACCTCACATGCCATGCTCACTGTCTTTGCTTCGATTGCATGTGTCACACTTCATGTGGTAAACTATCCGTCCAGTCTGCATGCCTGGTTTACAGTCACTTCCTCAACATGTCAGCTGGAGTCCAGGAGGACAGGAACAGGTCTCCGGAAAAATACTACACAGATGACTTGACATTGTTTGTAGTCAGAAAAACCTTTCAATACCGGGGGAAACAACATTATCATTACTTGCTGTGTTTATTCTTTATATAATTGTACTTTCTGGCACATAAAGTGTTGTTAGTAATTATCCTGCGAATAAGAAACATGTCTCCAATTAATCAGTGGGTCTTACAGTGTAATGCAATTAGGGCTGAACAATTAATCAAAACTGCAATATTTGTTCAAGTTGATGTGTGTGTCATAATAAAAATATAACCAATATAAAGATTCATCATATTTTAAAAACATCTTTGTTTGGTACAGATCCCCACGAAAACCACACCATTATTCATTCAAAAGCTTTTCAATGAAAATGAGAATAATTATGTCAAAGGTCATTTCCCCTAGTTTCACAAAGCATATTGCAATTGCAATATCAGTCAAAATAATCATAATTAGATACTAAATGCAATCTAGTACAAAAATGGTTTCCAAAATTATAATGGAATTTGTGGTTTTGGCTGGGCAGTTAATAGATTATATTTATCATTTAACAAAAGGTAATGTGAGTGAACAAAAGGAAAATCTAAATCAAATCAATATATGGTGTGACCACTCTTTGCCTTCAAAATGGCATCAATTCTTCTAAATACACTTGCACATAGGTTTTGAAGGAACTCGGCAGGTAGGTTGGCCCAAACATCTTGGAGAATTACCCACAGTTCTGTGGATTTAGGCAGCCTCAGTTGCTTCTCGCTCTTCATGTAATCCCAGACAGACTCAATGATGTTGAGATCAGGGCTTTGTGGGGGCAGTGCCATCACTTCCAGAAGTCCTTGTTCTTCTTTACGCTGAAGATAGTCCTGACTTTTGATATGTTTGAGCTCTTTGTCATGCTACAGAATAAATTTGGGGCCAATCAGATGCCCCCCTGATTGTATCTCAGCATTGAGGAGAGCATTCTGACCAAATCCCCATCGCCATTTGCAGAAATGCAGCCCCAAACTTGGAAGTTCCACCATGCTTCACTTTTGCCTACAGACGCTCATTCTTGAACTGATCTCCAGGCTTTAGGTGCACAAACAGCTTTCTGCTACAGCCAGATATTTCAAATTTTGACTCATCAGTCCAGAGCACGTGCTGCCATTTTTCTACACCCCAGTTCCCGTATTTCTATGCACGAGTCATGTGGCCTTGTTTCCATGTCAGAGGTATGGCTTTTTGGCCTCAAGTCTTCTATGAAGACCACTTCTCTGGACAGTAGATGGGTGTACCATGGTTTCACTGTTTTCTGCCACTTCTGAGCTGATGGTTCTGCTGGACATCTTTCGATTGCGAAGCAAAGTAAGCATGATGTGTCTTTCATCTACTGCAGGAAGTTTCTTTGGTCGACCACTGTGTCTAAGATCCTCAATCCTGCCCATTTCTTTGTACTTCTAAAAAAAACCTTGGACAGCACATCTGGAAACCCCTGTCTGCCTTGAAATTTCTGCTTGTGTAAGAACTTGCTGATGCAGAATAACCTTGTGTCTTGTTGTTCAGCTCAGTCTTGCCATGGTAAAATGCTTTTCACATGTAAAATAAGAATCTCAATAACTAATTTTGTTAGTTTAAAATTGCAATTAGAAATTAACTGACTTTAGTAAAACAGTCTGAAAATATGTTTTTGCTGAAGTTGAATAATATTGAAGCCTCATAATCCTTCTTGTGATGTAGTAAAATAATTTAAAATTGTACTGGAAGCTTCATGAGGAGCATGTCAGTAGCAATGCTGTTGAATCGGTTTGCATTACATTGTACAGAAGTTATTATTGTATAGTATTCAGGTCACAGCACCAGACATAATTGTCTGAAAGAAATAGAACCTCTACTTCATGCCTCATGATCTCTTCACCTCTTTCGTTTAGCTTCGTATAATATCTGCCAACAGTATGTTAGCTGTGATTGTGATCAGATATCACCTTAAAGCTGATGTGGTCACTCAAAGCTCTTCCTCACTCTCATCTCTCACTGAGGTTGTGTCTGTTGGGGTCATTAACCTCCTCTGCTAAGCTCCTTTGTTTTCATACAGAAAGGCAACTGCTGATCCAGTGGTTTTTGAGTGCCTACGTGATTCATGTGGCGTTTGTGTGAAATTGCGCATGCATGTGTGTGTGTGTGTGTTGTGTGCATTTGTGTCAGTGAGGCAGCTACCAGTGTTTCGACAGCCCCCAGGGCCCTGCACAGATAGTTCATGGAGCAGAGATCCAAATGAGTCTCACCAGTGTGCTCATCCTCTGCAGCTATTAATTTACCACCTCATCATCACGCAACAAACTTTTTACACCGTATTAACGTTACATACAGTACGACATTCCTTTTGGACATTATATGAATTAGTGAGGGCCTGTATTATAAGAGATCTGCTTTAACTTTGAAACTACAGGTGTCAAAAAGCCATCTAAAATCTACTTTGACTCAATTTTGTGAGACATGAAACAAAACATGAAAACTTCCAAGGTGGGTGAAGTAGGCAAATAGAATCTAGGTTGCTACATTACTGATTTAAGTAAGAAATGAAAGTAGGAAGGTGCAGGATTGCTTCATGGGATGCATCATGTTTTGGCATCCTTTGGCATCTATATTATGCATTTTCTTTGTCTATAGCTGAGTATTGTTCTAATTATAATGTCAATTATGCATTTAAATGTCTTTTTAATTTAAAATGTCACTACAAAGAGTCATGTAATGAACCAGTGAGGTGTAAAGATCTAGCTCGGTAGGTTCAGCTCACTGAGTACACGGCAGCAAATCCATACACAAATATTGACAGAGTTAAGAATAAGTCAGATGGTCTCCACAGAGTTCTGTAACTGCAACAACGGAAGCAAGGAGAGTTTCGTCACACCCACATGCATTTAAGCATTTATATCCACATAATGATCCACAGCATGAAAACAGGTTAGTAAGAGCTCTTTGTGTATTGTAATAGTGTGCTAATTCACTATGAGGTTATTGACTGAATTCGCCGTCAAAATGATGTTTGAATGAAGTCCTGTCTGAGTCCTGAGATTTCTTGTGGGTTTTATCTTACTCTTTACCCGGCTACAGAATGAGTTACAGTCAAGGGTCACACAGCGTGACGTTTCACTCATCAGTCATTTCTGTGCAACTGAGACCAGCTTTGACATCAGTGAAGATGGTATCATTAGTGCTCTTCATAAATCTATCCACTATCAGGTCTCAGCAGGAATGCGGACACATCTCAACATTGGGAAACCTCTCCTGGAACAGTTGCCTGTAGTGTATGAATGCAAATAGCAAATTTTAGGTGCTGGTTTTTAATGAATCTTTGCTGTCATGAGGGCTATTACAGGACAATGTAGTGGCTGCTTGTGTCCGGCAGAATTCAAAAAGCGTTCATATGTGAACTTAATGTAGGTCACTGTGATGCCAGATAAGGTTTAAAGTCAAGTCACTGCATCTCCAGAGGGCATCATGCTCAAAAAAGGCCAAGCCGCATGAGGTGAATTAAACATACTGTGTGGCTTTAGTTTGATTATTTAATATATATTTTAGCTTGACATTCTACCTATTCCTCTGGCTCCTACATGGCTATTTAGCGTTAATTTTTTTGTCATGTGTTCCAGCTTGTTTAAAAAAATAAAAATAAGTATTATTTGTGGCTGAAATGGGGCACTGTAATGTTAGGCTACTTGTGGGACTGTTTCATAGAGGATTTTATTTTATTTTCAACTGTACTGTAATTGAGTTTTGAGGTTGTTGTATTATATAGTCTACTTAAAATATGAGGTATTCCTTACAGGTGTTGCTTTTAGTGTATCCCCCGGTAGTAATATCTCAGGCAGGAAAAGTGAGTTAGGTTGTATTGTTGGGATTTTGTGAAATCATAATCATATCATGTTGCTTCATACCCACAGTACTGTAATAGTAAATGTAAAGGTGGCTGTATTTCATGTGTATCAATTACTGATTTTATTGCAGAGAGATCAAATGGCCTGAAAAATCACACTGGTTACTCTCATTCACTTATTTTAATTATGTGGCACAGGATGTGAAATGCCCAGCAGTTCAATCCACACCACACTCATATTGCATTAAGGAAATGAACTGAATGATTGGCATGACATGTGAGATGTTCAATACACATCCTGCTGAATGAATAAGGCCACACTCAGCTGCCACCAGACACTTACAGCAGTGCCGGACTCTGAACCTGGGCATGCCGTTGCCGTGTTTTTGGCACCGCAGGTTCGGCAGCAGACACCTGACGAAGACCTTTCTCCTTGGCAGGTGCTACTGGTGAGCAGCAGTCGACATCCAGACCAATGGATCGTGCCAGGAGGAGGAATGGAGCCTGAGGAGGAGCCCTGTGGGGCCGCCGTCAGGGAGGTGTACGAAGAGGTGAGCCCATCCCCTATAACAAAATTAAGAAAACATGCACCTACAGATTGTAAGTGTTCTTCTACATTTTGTGGTTGGAGCTACTTTAAAGCAGCCAGTAAAACCACCAAATATCTATAGTGGTGTTTTTGCATGTTTAATTACAGATTGCATACACTTGTCATTGCTGCTGACCAAAGTATGCTGTATGTATTTAGATGATTTTCTACCTGCAAGGGAACCACTGTTTTAAGTTTGTGCTAGAACAATATGAAAATCAGCTGGTGATTTGCTTGAGATTGCTAATTTCTGATAGTTTGATCTATTTTTGAAGGGGGTCGAAGTTAGAATAGTTTTGAGAGTCCGCTGATAGCAGCATTGCTTTCACAAGCTGTGTTGTCATAAAATGAAAAACAATATGCAGAGATATTGTGAGAAGGATATTGTGAACTAGGTCATATCTGGCGTTCTAAAGGTCTGTGGTGTAGAAGCCAAGCCACTCAGAAGTTCCCACAGACTTGTGAACGCATCAATAAGAATGTTTTTCTTTTGTTTGTTTTTTTAAACTGAGGTCTGCATTGCCACATGACCATTATCATAAATAAGCAGCAACTCTTGGCAGTTAGTGTTGTCATTGTTCACACTATGAGATGCTCCCACTGTTGTACGAGCCAGATCGAGATGACTGATAGAACTATTTGGCAATGTTACATAAATGACCAGTTAATTGTTCTGCGGTTTAGTCAAATGGGGCTGCTGGTAGAGTGTTTGTCGTGGACTGAGCTGTGAGCTCCTGCCTTGGATAGTAGTGTGCTGACAGCTTTGAGGTATGGCAGTGACATTTGGGAAGGGTTTCTAGTTACCCACATCCTGTGACTCCCAGACCAGACATGTGCCTGAATATGGATGAGCTGCAAACCAACTTCAAAACGTCAACACATTGACCTCATGGTTGCATGTGATAGTTTTAATTTGTGTAAATGCGAGATTTGTCTGTCCTTTGAGGCTATTTTCAGATGTAACTGATGTATCCTTTTATAACAGGTATTTGGCATGGAGGTTGTGTGTGTGGTGTGGGGGGTTGTCCATGCCAACTGGCTAAAAGGGGGCGTAGCAATGGGAGTTTCCTATCGCAAAAAGGCGCATAACTTACAGACACTGTGTGTGTGTGAGAGTGCATGCCTGTACGAGGTTGCAGCTATTGCTAATTTGCCCTTATTTGTATAATCACTACAGCAATCAAAAATAGATTAGATCACTCCAAATACAACCATGACAGTGACACATCTTGTGTGGTTTGTTGGGCCTTACTTTAGTCACTGGCTTTCCAATTCTATACGGCATACTAATTCTCTATAGGTTTTGATGACCTACTTTTGTTCAAAAGACAGCAAACACACCACAAAATCTTTTGTTTTTAAGTGTGTTGTTGGTGTACAACATTTCACCACAATGCTTTGCACAAAGGAATTTGAGGTGCTCTACCTTTTCTACAGCTAACTTCAGGTGCCACGTTCTTCTAAATATTTGTCACCAGTTATGCAGGAGCAGAAATGGATCTCGACTCGTGCACCCTACTTGTGTTAAACCTTTCTCTCTCGTCATCCTGTCACTAAGACAGTTGATGTTTAGCTCCACCTGGTCATCTCTGCGAAGCTGCCTCACAGGCACGTGGCGATGCTAGGGTGGTACCGAGCCACGGGGCTTCCTGAACTAAATGAGACAAATGTTCAGCTGAGAATGTGTGCACACATTACAAGAGAGACAAGCTGTTCCTCATACCAGGTCACGCTTTCCTGTTGTGTTGCAGCCGTATGAATGGAAAAGATGGACTTAAGGGTTGCATGTCATATTCAGAACTTGTAATAAACAACCTTTGTATAGTTACTCAATCTAAGTTTATTAAATGAGTTCTTGATTAGTTTTCTTCATGTGTGCAGGCTGGTGTGAAGGGAAAGCTTGGCAGACTACTTGGGATTTTTGAGGTAAGTTTGTCGAACTGTCATTGTCCAAAATTGTAATAAATTCTGACGTGGCATGTAATACATTATAAAATGCTGTTTAAAATCCTACTTTCATGCCTAGGATGCCTATGAAGTCATGCCTCATGTCTCTGTGTTGGTGCTCAGAGTCAGGCAGAACATTAAGTTCTGTTCATGTACAAAGAAACCGTGTAGTCAGTCACATCATGTCTTTACTGCATATGAAAGCTTTGCATGCGTTGAACTGACACAGTTTATTGCAGTGATACAAAGTCGTGTCTTCATCCTAACCTCTGCAGCACAATCAGGACAGAAAGCACAGGACGTACGTCTTTACCCTCATAGTGACGGAGACACTGGAGGACTGGGAGGACTCTGTCAACATTGGTAGGCCTCTACCTTTAAGTCTGACTTTGTCATCATATTACCGATAGTTTTCACGTAAATTATGCTGCGGGTATTTACTCACACACAGAAACAAGCATTTTGCGACAAATATGTCTTTATCAAACTGAGGGACTACCTTTGTTTTTAAGCCGTTTTGGTTCTCTTAGTCACATGAGATTAGGCACACTTAGACAATTTTCTCTATTTAGTAAGTAATTAGGGCCCCTTGACCTGCTGCAGAGACGTAAATTAAAGGTGCCCTGTAGAGACTTCTTGTACACAAACACAGTTTCAGATTACATTCAGTGTTTCTCACCACATTGTGTGTATGTTTAAGCTCTCTAACAAACGTGTTGAATGAATTTTCTTCCTCCAAAAAACTCTTGCAAAGCCAAGTTTTTTTTAATATTATTGTGAAATATTTCCATGCATGTTTGCTAGCTTGCAGTCTTCCTTTTCCTTGCCATGTTACAGCTACCAACTGTTGATTAGTGGGATAACATAAGACCAGCAGCAGGATGTGAATTGTCGTCCGCATGCTCGAGCTTTGTGTGTCCTCTTGCTGTGCTGTGCTATGATAACAAACAGGGGACCCACAAAAACACTGCTACACAGCACTGCAAGTGGGGGGGGGGGGTCCTTTTTAGCTGAAATGATGAGTTGATTCATGGATAGGTCGATCAACAGTAAATTTATCTGTTTGTTGAAGTTATTTTGTCAAGAGAAAATATTTCCAGCTTCTCATCTCTGAGGGGTTGATTTGATTTTGGTAAACTGAACTTAGAGGTTGAACAGAACAAGGTATCAAGAAGAAGTCATCCTGGGCTTTAGAATTTTGTGATGAGCATTTTTCAGTATTTTCATTTTATAGTCATTTTATAGATTAAACATAATAATGGAAATAACCATTAGTTGCATCTCTAAAATTGCTTATCTTTTACCCCGTCACTGTAAAATGACTAATGTTGCAGGCATTGTAGAGTATGTAGAGGCATGTGATCACTATTTGTTTTGAATGTGTTTGTTATTTTAAATGTAATGCTTAACTAAAACATGAACTGTTTCTAACTGGTCTGTAAAAAAGTTGGTCGTAATAATGTACTCCCTTCACTCACAGAAATAGCGTTCAGCCTGTTGACAAGGGGGAGGAATGTTTGCTGTGCCTAGTCGTTTTCCAGTTATCATCACTCACCACAGCCCCCTCTGTCTCACCTTAGCTAAAAGGCCAGTGGTGGTGTACTTCAGGGTGTAAATATAAAGTGATTGAATCCCCCTCCCCACACACACACATACACACACACATACCACTCTCTGATAATCACAGGCTGCGCTGAATTCCTTCACAAAAATGTTTTAGAAAGGTTTGGTGACATGTGGACTTCATAAACATTAACTGAATTAAATGCTCACAAGTCTCTGAGCTAGAGTCCAAGTCAAGTCTCAAGTCTCTCGTGGTTATAAAGAATGTTGTATCACCTGCTGCGTTCAATCCAGGCTGCTTATTAAATTGCACAGCTATAAGGAATTCTGTAACTGTAACCCGATTTTCACTTACAGAGCACAACCATGTAATGTGCAATGCAATTAATGACATCTTAACTATTGTAAGTCAACATCAACCGTAGACTCTCAAACCCAGTGTAACGTTAAGTAAATAAAACAGTAACATTACATGATCAACAATAAACCTAGTAACCTGTTTTTCACTTAGAGAGAGCACAATGTAGCCTAATAAATCTACAATTAATGACAGTTTAACTCCTGTAAGTCAACACACCACAGACTCTCAAACCAGTGTAATGTTAATTAAATTAATTACGTTAATCGACTGCCACAAGTTTGGCAAGTAAACAAATGCTCATTCATCTTTTCATAACAAACGACAGTCTTAGTATGTTAAACCTCCGGTAGGTCGTAGCTAAAGCAAGAAGCAAGCTAACGTTAGATGGCCAATGCTGAGCTAAACATGTTTACTAACTTCAGGTTACTAACCTATTTTGCGTTCAGCGCTTCCTTGTTTGGGCCTTGTTGTATGAAGTTTTAAAGCCAAAGTTTATGATTAATGGCACAACAGCTGCCGGTGTTTGTTGTCCTCTCTCACGTGTGGCCGCGCGCGGCCGATACTACCCGTTTCGTAGGCAGGTTATATGTAATGCAGGAAGGGGAATAACGGCAAGCTCATCAGACGTTTCCTAAAAATAAACATTGTTCACGAGCCCCGCACCTCGAGTCCGAGTCCAGTCTGAAGTCACTGTGTGTGCGACTTAAGTCGGGCTCGAGTCCGAGTCTCAAACTCGAGTCCCCCTCTCTGACTGAAGTAGGTCAGGAATGTCCGTTTTCCACTCTGACTTTAGGGCTGCAACATGTGCTGAACAGTTTATTCTTGCTTGTTGAACAGCTTGTTTTATAATGTTGTAATTTAGCAATTTAAGGTAGTTTTGCCTGTTGAGCAGTCTTACTCACCGCTCAGTCAGGCATACAGTTACACCTCTGAAGAGCTTTAGTGAAGAATGCCGTGGTCTGCAGTGCAGTAGTAGTTTCATCTTGGTTACCGATCAGTTTCATTATCATTACTTCCATTTAAGAGTCATATGTCGGCACAAGACCAAACTTCTACTTCCAAAAGAAATTTAAGATAGCAGTACAGATGATTGTTATACGTGCATTTTCTGCTTATATTAGCATTTAGCTCAAAGCACCACAGCCTGCTAATGCAGATGTAGAGCCTTGGTCTTGTTTAAAAAATAATAAGACTTAAAGCCAGCTGCTCAATGTAGTTTTTATCACAGGAGGAGACAGTCCATTTGTTTGGGGCCAATTTCAGTGGTGGATTAATCCACATGTGGCACCACAGTGAGTATTTGGGGCAGCAGGCAGGTGTATGTGGGATTCAGTCAATGTAAACTACAGTGTGTTTGTGTGCGTGTGTTTTCATGGTGACAAAGGAACACGTCACCCAGTGCAACACTGTGGCTTGTTTATGTGTTTTAACAGTTTCTGGAAAACAAAAGAGCTCTATGGCTCAGATAGAAGAGATGTGACACACACACACACACACAATACTCACTTTGTTATTTGGTTTTGGTCTCTTGATGGGATTTATTGACGATAAGAAAAAAAGACTTTACTCTTGTCCTTTCTTGTATGTTTTTGCAGGGAGGAAGAGAAAGTGGTTCAAAGTTGACGAAGCCACCAGGGTGCTACAGAGCCACAAGCCTGTCCACGCGGAGTACCTGCGGAGGCTCACAACCACCTGTAATCCCACCTGCAGTCCTGTGTGTAGCCCGACTAACGGCAACACCCCGAGCTCCCAAGTGATGGACAACAACACACCTCACTATGTTGTTTGCTCCTCAAAGGGCTCAGATTTAGTCAACAGATAGGACCATCACCGGGATGGACACATCATCTGAAAAAGACTTCTGTATTGATCGCATTAGTAACGCAGCCTCTTAATATGTACAGTATGGACCTCTTTAAGTTGATTTGAAATCTATTTCGAGTGGGCTTGAAGAGTGCCAAAATCTTTTCCAAGTATATTTAAGATTTTATGTTATTTTTTAACAACCATAACCAGATAATAGAGTAAATGTGTCCCTGTAAAGTTTCCAGCTTTACATGGATTTTCTGTGTGCTGGGGATGCAATGTGAGATCCTTTTCAGTCTTAGATGGTGAATATTTGACTAGCAGTGCACAAAAGTGTTTGGGTGGTTTCCTGAGAAAGTCATATCCCCACAATGACTTGGTGCCAAAAAATGCCTTTCGGCGAGACGTTTTGAAGAGGAGTTGCTATATGTGTATTAATTGTGACATTTTTTGGTAGTAAAGCTAACTTCACCTTCTTCCTAAAGAGAGCTGAGGGCAATATCTGCTTTGATGCAACAAGTGTGAAAAACATTGCTCCTCCGGTAATTACCGTCTAACAAGTACACACAGCGTCGCGTCTCTAATCACTAGTAAGAGTGTAACACTGTAATAAAGATTAGACAAATCTCTGCAAACCAGCCACCACACTGAAATGGATACATAAGTAGTCCTTGCTCAAACATCCTATTACTTGTACATATATTTAATGTAGTCAGGCTGACAATATGTTGGCACAGTTAGATAAATATCAGCTTTGGTATAGTGGAACAAAACTGCAGTCAGCATAATCAAAACTTGGACATGAAAGAGACAGTATTCAACACTATAAACACGTAGACTATTGTACAAGAAATAACATTCTGAAGAAACAAAAGTGAATTCTTGTGAATGCCTTTGAAGACCATATAGAGGAGGCAGTGGCTTGAGAAGAGTGTTTTAGTCTGATACTTCGAACTGCCTTTACAAACACTAGTAAAAAGTGTAAGCAGTACAATGCCTCACAACCACACACACATACACACTGTTAAAATCAACCCCTTATATTTCTCAGCTGTGGTTATATTTACATAATAGGATGTTGAAGGAAACTTAAAATTGAATGTACATTATTTAGTGCGCATTGCCTGAATTTATTTATGTTTCATGGGGAAAAAACCCTCCCAGTATGAACAGGAAACTATGACAGGAAGTCATGGTCAGTGTGTAGGCTAAAGGGTTTTTTGTCAATATCCCAAAAACAGCCAAATGATGTGATAAATTCAGTTTATTGACTATCATTGCCTTTGTACTTAAAGGAGCATGGGGAAGATCAATGTTGACTAACCCTTTTTTTCTATTTGTGCATGTGTGACTGGAATACTCTGCTGTGCATCATGTTGTATACAAAACCTTTAAATAAAAAAACAGATCGATCATCCCCATTGCCACATGTTGTAATCCGTACAGTATAGCATAACAACACTCTAATAATCTTGAATATAGCCAGGCAGTACAGTCTATGGTCCTGCCTAACAATCCTTTCTCCATGTCCCGCCCATTCGCCGCTGCTGTCTGAGCTTGGTCAGGTGTTCGTTGTACAGCGACGTAAACTTTGAATTTGGAGAACAGATTGGATTTTGTGTCTAGACCAACACAGTCGAGGCCATGCTCAGACGGATACTTCAAATGGTAAGCTTCTGGAGCAACAAAGTCAAGCGTGTCGCTTTTGTTTATTCAAACCGAGTCGTTTTTCTTGAGAGACGTAGGCCTATCCTCCTCTGTTTTCATGGTGGGGACGCACGTTTTAAAACACAATATGTTGCCGGTGGGCGGGGATTCTAGTTTTGACCAACGGGAGATGCTCTAGTTGGAAAAACCTCGCTTCTCCGTCAGATCGTTGTGACAATATCGAGCGCTCCTTGTGCGGGGTTGACACAGCTAGCCATTAAATGCTAACGTGGTTCGACTGATTGATGCTACTCTTGACAGGGATATAGCAAGATAATGTACTTACAAACTAATTAGCTAACGTGTCCTCGTTGCCAGGGCTAGTCGAGTAAGGAATAACTTAGCTAGCTAACGTGCTTGGTCACAGAATCATTTTATTTTCACGGTTTCGGTTAGCTAGCTATGTTTTATAGCTGTAACGTTAGGTTGATTCATCGTCCACTCATCACATGCTAACGTAGACGTTAGCCACATATTGACTTTCGGGAAATCCCGTGTCAGCTGTCTGACCGCAAGATGAAGAAAACACGCGTTTTAATTTATTGAGCTTCTACTATTGTTAATGTTGACATGATTGTTGGGATAAATTACCAGCTTGCCACTAACACTACAAGTGGGAGTAGTAGGCTATAGGTTAGCTACTTAGCTAACCAGCTGGTGCTTAGGACTGCATTTACCACAATGCATTGCAAACGTTAACTGCATTGTGTATATTTGGAAGTCTTGGCTTTGTAACCATCCATCACTGATGTTAAGGATTGTCAGACTGGGACCTGTAACCCAAGACATTTTATTGCAAATAAAAATATTTTATGTTAAGAGTTATTGTTTTGTGAGCATACACCCGACTTGTGCAGTAACTGTGTGGCTAACAACACGGACATCACGGGCTTTATAGGAAACAATCTGATTAAAGATGATCCGTTGTGTAACACACATTTGCCCTCAAGATGAAAAAGGTTTGGTTTATAATATGGTCTGACAGTTTATGGGCACAAACACACCTCAAACTCTAGATTACACTGCCGAGGTAATGATAACAGTGCATTTCATTACTGTCATGTCAGAATTAGCTGTCACCTCTGGCCAAAATTTGCGATTTCATGTTTTAAACTCCTGGCTTAAAATTAATAGTGTAGTGGGTAGACAAAAATCATGTTGTCAACCTGTTTTAAGACAGTATAGTAAATCCCTAAAAATATATGTATCCATACTGAGTTAATTTTAGTAAATAATTTGTTTATTTAACTTTTTGTGGTTAGTATAATTATTTTAATGTTGGTAAAGTCAGTGTAGTCCTGTTTAAGTGTGCAGTTTATTTGAGTTGGGTTAAAGGTTGTTCCATGATGCAAATGTTTAGCCTGCTTTCAAAGTGGCTTTTGTCTGCCCTCCGATAGGCTCTGAGATGTTCAAAGTGCTCAGTGTCCCCATCCCAGTACTCAACCACACGTGCACAAACCCACACATTGACCTGATTCATTCATGCAAACTATTACCAGCCCAAATAAACCCATTTTGTGAATGGACCACCAGTGGTACATCCACCTCGTGTGTTTGGGCTTCAGGCCATTGGACTGAGTTGATCTGAAGTGACCCTTTTAAATCAACTTTTGAGCTGTGAGAGTTAATTTTATTTTACCTTGTCCCCTGCTATGTTCTAAATTACAATGTTTGTTGTTTAATGTAACGAGGTAATTGCCTCTCACCTGACCACATAGTAGTTGGAGGGGCGTGGTAATGCATGTATAAACATTCAAAGACAAAGGCGGCATATTCATTTAATAATCACAAAGCTGAACTGGAACAGAGAGCCCCTGCAGTTAGATGCACAGTTATCAGGAAGGCTCAATAGCTGGCCAGTCAGTGTCCTTGCAAAAACTGGATCATGAAAATAAAAGGACATTGCAAACAGCAAGGTTATTGGAAAGTAACAGTGGAGGGAAGTCAGTTGAAGAACACAAGGCAGTAAATATCCCATTCCCTATCATAAGATCAGTCATAAAAAACATGGAAAAAGATATGGCACAGCTATAAATCTTTCCAAAGCCGTCCTCAAATACGGTATATCTGTGAGAAGAATTATTGAGAGGTAGTGAGGGACACCAGAGGCCTGTGGAGACACAGATGGGAGACACTGTGCTTACGTTTGCCTGGGTGCTTCACCTGTCGCTCCTTTGTGACTGTTGAATAAAACTCATCTGGGTTAATGTTTATCAGAAGTTGCGGGAGACTCTGAAACAAACTGAAAAAGGTTCTATGGTCTGATGAGCTCTATGTGAAGCATTTGGCCATCATACTAAACGTTTGGTGTAAACCAAACCTCGTTCATCACCAGACCCGCACCATCCCTACCATAAAGCATGGTGGTAGTACCATTTGACAAACCGACTCAAGTAAAAGTATAAAAGTACTTGGTTAATAAAACAAACTACACAAAGTAGGCTACAAGTTACTTTGTGTTTTAATATTGTTGTTTGCCAGATACCCTTTTTTTGGAATTATAGCTAAGTGTTTTATGTGCTGTGTGTGTGTATCATTGTCAACTGTGTATTAGTTATTTCTAGGGAATGCACTTTACTTGTTGATTATCTCATACTTAGCTATTTCTGTTTAATAAGTAATACAATTAACTCTTTTTTTAATCTACATGAAGGTAAGATCACTGCAAAATATCACACTGCCTTGCTGCAGCCTGCTGATGTTGCCTATGCCTTTTTATTATGGACATGTAGCCAACCAAACCACTTGCTCTGTTATATATGTTATGCAAAGGATCTGCCTTTTGCATAGGTTAGGCATCCTATACATGTGATTATTCCTGAAGTAGAATTACTGAGGCAAAAAAATGGGAGCCGCCCATTAATGAAGTAGTAAAGCCTACATATTAAAGGCAGACCTGTGTGTCACGCGTAAAGCCCAACAGGACTGTTGTATTCTCTCTCCCTCTGCATCTCAAAACTTATTGTTTCCTGAATAAATAACAGCTGATTGAAAGCCAAGATCAGATTCACCGGCGACATTCAATTAAATTAATTTGCCGTCGGACATTGCTATTAAACAAATAGCAACAAAGCAAATTAGAGAAAATAAAAAACTATCAAAAGAAAGTCGGGCTCTGCCCAATAACAGTATTCTGCTAATTTAGGCTATCAGAATCAATCCAGTGATCATCTGACTTAGATTTTTATTCAGTGAGTAGCCTACATGTGTACTGCAGAGACTAAATAGGCTTTAACGTTAATGGTAGACGTTACACAGCAACTGGTGGAACTGTTGTCACCACATATGACAGTGTTGTTATTTCCTTATGCAACTAAATAAATTAAATTAAATAAATATGAAAGCATGTTTATTTAAGACAGTTGCATCGTGAAGGAGACTACAACACCACCCCAGCGTAGAGCTAATCATTCACATAATATTTGTTTAAGGCTAATAGGGAGCACCCAGCATAGTTGTTTTTGAGACGTGTGACTCAGGACTCTGTTGAAGGCCTGGGCCTCTTTTCTGGGAAGCCTGACGCTTCTTTTCTGAAATGAATTATTGTTCACTTGATTCAGCATTTAGCTAGATGCAGACGTTGCAAACAATTCAAGTAAAGAGCACACACATCAAAGTCAGAGGTCTGTGTGTGTGTATACTTATGTTTGAACTTATGTTCAAATGTCTCTGGAATAATGTTTGTAATTTATTTGGGAAAGCTGAAAATAGGTCATTAAAATCTGTATAAAGGATAAAGATCTTCTCCCATATCACAACTTAACTGCTTCTCTCAGTGAACAAAACTGTACAGAGAACTCTCGTACTAATCAAGTCCATGTTGTCCTCTCCAGACTCCTGGGAAGGGAGGCTCCCAGAACGCAGAGTCCGAGCAGCCCAGCACAGACCTTAACCATGATCAGACGTCAGAGGTAAGGAGGATGTTTGTTTTTTTGCTCCCATTGAACTCTTGTAGCTTTTTTTTCCACCCTGCGAGCAGAGCTGCCGAACTGAAGCTAATAATTTATTGTTGCGTGGTTGATTCTGATGGCGTGTTTCTGTGTTCAGGGCTTCATCTGTCCTCAGTGTATGAAGTCTCACAACTCTGCGGAGGAGCTGTTCAAACACTATGAGCTGTTTCATGATACCGGAGACCTGCCCGCTCATGTGGCCCCCACTCGGTGAGATGCAGCGATATAAATATTACTTTCGTTATGACAAAGAGTCTGACCTCATGGTGAAAGTGACAGAAATTTGATGTGTATATTTATGTGAATGCACTTTTTAGGGAAGACCTTACAATGCTGCGGCAAGAGGTTCAGGACCTGCATGCTTCTCTCAAGGTACAGTCGAGTTTCTGAGGCGAACTCAGGTGTGTAAATGGTCGGTTCATACAAAGACTGTTTGTGTGTTTTAACCTGATTAGGAGGAAAGATGGTTCTCTGGAGAGCTCAAGAAGGAGTTAGACAAAGTCCAAGGACACCTGAAGCAAGTAATTCCTTCAAGATATTTAACATGTATTATAATAAAATGTTGGCTATCGGAGTATAAAACTAGTTAATAAAACTTCTTACTGTACATATTTCTCTCTTTGCCTTGATTCCACAGAACGACGGACAGACGGGCTCAGAGGATTCAGGTTAGGGACATTTTTATATTTAAAATCCCTGCGAAAAAGACACCAGATGCCGGTCACTAATCTGTGGCGCTTTTTTCCCAGTCCTCGAAAGGAAGTTGAATGAAGTGGAGACAGAAAAGTTCAACATCAAGCAGATGAAAGACCTGTTTGAGCAGAAGGCTGCTCAGCTGGCCACAGAGATAGTAGGTTAGTGTGGGGCCAGGGAACTGGGAGGCCTGTGTCTGCGGGTCTGCATCATTTAACAACACTGAGGTACTTTTTTACCCAACCACTATCAAGCTAAATCCACCTGCTGTGTTTTTATCTTGCACAAGTTCATTCTTCAACATTTGCTTTTACGGTTTAGGTTTTGCATTTTTACACTGATAATGTTTTCCTCAAATCAGTTTGATGTTGTGAACAAGTTAGGTATTTGTGTATTGTTGATTTGGATATTATTAAATGGGCTATTATTTTTAAATTGTTGAATTCGACAGACTTAAAGTCCCGCTATGATGAGGAGAAGAGCCTGAGGGAGGCTGCTGACCAGAGGCTGGCCAGATTGACCGAACAGCTCCAGAGCGAGAAACAGGAGACAGAGAGACTCCAAACAGAGCTGGTACAACACACACTAAGTTTCTGTTGGTATTTATTCTCTTCTCGCCAGGCTTGAGACATGGTTTGCACTTTGTATGGACTTTTCTTTTATGAATGTTGTGCTTTGGAGTCTGAAAGAATAATGTAAATCGACACCATGAAATCTGTTTGGCTCTGAGCTGTGTGGTATGAAGAATCGGAGCAGATCTTACCCAGACGATTTCTTCACCGTTGTTATAGAAATGCAAAACAGAACCTCATCCAAAGAATTTATCAAAGAGCTAAAGTGTTTTTTTGAAGTTAGAGTTGTGTGGTTGCATTGTTATGTTATCTGTTGTTAAATGTCTTTAACTATTCAGAGTATTTAGAGAGGCTTCATATAAAAGTAGGATTGGTACTAGTGTTCACAAAGAGGCAGCAGCTACTGATGCCTCTACACAATTCAGCTATTACTAAGGACATCTAGTTTTGATTTATCTTAATACCAAAAAGCCTGTCCCACTCTCTGCCACCCAGTCCTCATGGCTATAACACAGTGCCTCTGCTCTGCCCCCTAGCTGCAGCGACCGGGAGTGGAGGATGTGGAGGTACTGCAGAAGGAGCTGGTGCAGGTCCAGACACTGATGGACAACATGACTCGTGAGAGGGAGGACGAGTCTGAACGCCTCAGAATTCACTACGAGCAGCTGCAGGCTAATTACGCTACCTCAGAGGTAAAGGGGGACAAAACACCGAAATTCTTGAAGGAGGAACCTTTTCCCGACGTGTTGCAACATAAGCCACCACTCTTCCACCCTAAATTGGGCTTGTTGCAAGCACATAAACACGCACACTGATTCCCACAGTTTACGTCTAGAAGATTGTAGTGTTGATGTGAAGTTCGTTCTTATTTTTCCCCCTTTCTATTTCTCCTGTCATTTGCTAACCCATCCACAGCCCTTTAATACACTGCGTGCACAATTATTAGGCAAGTAAGTATTCTTAATGGATCATTAGCTCTATTGCACTTTTTCTAACTCCAAACCTCATAAACTTGAATGCTTATTGGAGTTAATAATTTTCAGGTGATATGTATTTCTGTAGGGCGGCGCAGTGGTGCAGTGGTTAGCACCTCACAGCAAGAAGGTCGTGGGTTCAAACCCGGTTTCCCCGGCCTTTCTGTTTGGAGTTTGCATGTTTTCCCCGTTTCTGCGTGGGTTCTCTCCGGGTGCTCCGGCTTCCTCCCACCATCCAAAGACATGCGGACTAGGTTGATTGGTGACCCTAAAATTGTCCTTAGGTGTGAGTAGTTGTTTGTCTATGTGTGGCCCTGCGATGGACTGGCAGGGTGTACCCTGCCTTGCGCCCGATGTCAGCTGGGATTGGCTCCGGCGACCCTGTACGCAGGATAAGCGGTTGACGATTGATGGATGAAGTGAATGATTCCTTAAATCAAGGCTGCTTCATTACTTCAGGTAAAATAGGCCAAAAAAGACATTTAACTGACAATGAAAAGTCAAATACTGTAAAAAGCCTTTCAGACGGATGCAACACTCAAGAAATAGCTCAACTTTTGAGGTGTGACCACTGCACAATGAAACGTGTTGTTGCTAATAGTCAGCTCGGCCCACAGAAAGCGCATGGAGAACAAAAGGCCCTACCAGGAACCCATTATCCCCTAGTGGCACCATATTCCAGAACTGCAACCTACCTGGAGTGTCCAGAAGATCCAGATGGATGGGCCTGTGGCTGGATCACTGATGGACACGGCACCACTTTGACTCAGACACCAGCAAGGTGGAGGAGGGGTTCTGGTATGGGCTGCTGTCATTAAGGATGAGATAGTTGGACCTTTTCAGGTTGAAGATGGACTGAAACTTAACTCCCAAACCTACTGCCAGTTTCTAGAAGATACTTTCTTCAGGCTGTAGTACAGGAAGAAGGCCATGATCTTTATGCGGGACAATGATCCATCACAAGCCTGCAAGTACTCCACTGCTTGGCTAGCCAGCAAGGGCCTCGAAGATGCCCGAGTAATGACCTGGCCCCCATCTTCACCTGATTTGAATCCTACTGAGAACTTGTGGGCCTTTCTCAAACGAGATGTACAGTCAGGGAAGACGATACACGTCTTTGAACAGAATTTAGGAGGCTGTGGTTGCTGCTTCTGCGAAAGTTGATAGTGAACAGACCAAGAAACTCCATGAACTGAAGGCTCATGGCAGTTATTGAAAAGAAGGGCGGCCATATTGGTAAATATTAACCAATATTACTAAATATTTTTGAAAGGCCAAAATTTTTATTCATTTTGTTCATTCATTTCATTCACTCTAAAAGTTTTATTTGACAAAAAAAAGACAACAGTTACAAAATAAATGTCTCCAGGCAGAGTCCTAAATCCTATGTGTTGTGTCAAACGTGCTTACACAGAGGTAACTTCAAAATTTCCTATTACTATACACAACGCGACGGTTAGAAAACTGTTGCTCCATGTCCTGCTTGGCTGACCCTTTTTTAACGCAGCACATGCCAATAGGTGCTCTCACCTAATTTTTACTACACTTAGTTGCATTTTTCAGCACTTGAATAGGTCTGAGTTAACAGGGCAAACTAATGGAGCACAGCTACACATGTTAATTCGCTAAATACACACTAATGACATCTGTCTGAGACGAACACAAAATATTACCAAGTGAAACACATAAAGGAAAGTTAATTTAACTTATGAATACGAAATAATCCAAAAGATTGACCAGGTTTTCTTAATGGCTCTAATAATTGTGCACGCAGTGTATCCTTATTTTAAAACCGCTCTGAAATAGCCTACAAAATGGTTCCGATGTACTGTAGTTATGTAATACGAGATGGCTTTGAGCCTGATTTCCAATAATTAATGCCCTGTGAATAATTCAGCCTTATTTCCTGCATTTTTTATCCCAGTGAGAGAGGAGCTTTTATCAGGCTCTGTCAGGCAGCACCAGGTGAACATGTCCTTCTTCATATCTGTGCTCGCAAAATATATTTTTTATATTTTTACACATTGAGGGACCACATTTTGAATATATTTGAAAATGGTCTGGTTTTTGATCACGTGATGGCTCTCAGGATACACAGTATCTTCACTGTGTTGCAGACTGGCGTTTGCTGTTGCATCGTGACTTACCTTTTGTCTGTGTCTCTCTTTCCCTCCCCTTCTTCTCCTGCTCCTCACATACTGTATCTCCAACACTCACTCTTTCTTCAAGATTCGTAAACTGGAGGTAAAACATGTTCTTTCAAGTCGGCCCCAAATTTAGTTTCATCTTTTTGACTTTCTCCTCAGTTTGAAAAGTTTTTTTTTTTTTTTTTTTAAACAGTGTGTTGCCTCTTCATGTTTTTGTGCGACTGGCGCCTGGTTGTTAATGCATGTTGGGTTTGTTTTCTTCTTTTATGTCAGTCCTTCACAGTGAAGCTTCAGTTCCTTGAAGGTACTCTAAATGGCTTGCAAAAAGGGTGTTAACGTGTCTCTCTGTCGTATTGCAGATAACCATATCCCAACTAAAAGCTGAGCTGGAGAAGGGTCCACAGGAAGCAGCTGTCTACACACAACAGATCCACCAGCTGCAGAGCAATCTGAATAATTTGCAGCAGGAAAGCCAGGTAACACACACACCACCAGAACCAAACCAAAGAACAATTGTTATAGTCAAGATTACTGCAGGTACAAACATGTCTGCCACACATTATACTGGATGGATTGTGGAGGATTTACTTTTACTTCAGTAATGTTAACAGGCCTTGCCAGCTGTCCTTCAAGTAGAGAACACGCCATCTCAGTTTCTATAAACCTTCCTCTGTTGCTCGGCATCAGGCCCTATCACAATGCCATGCTGTCACCAGCCATCTCTGGTAATCTAGGCTTGTTGATAAAAAAATCACATGGAGCCCTATAATTAAACCAGCAGGTGTGGGGAGGGAGGGTCTCTGCTGCGCCAGCTCTGCCACTTGGAGTGAAATACAATCGCAGGTAACTGCACAGGTGCAGTGAGAACTGGGGAACGGACGCACAGAGTTCCTGCCAGAGATTAAATCCTCCCACATCAGGCATGCCTTCCAAGCCAAGTAGGTTTCCAGGTAAAATGGGGATTACAGAGCTGGATCTCCAGTGTGATGCCCTCTCCCCATGCTTCCCTGAGACCTGATACAGATACTCATCTCTTAAGAATAGAGACAAAAGTATTGATTGAGGATCAGGACTAGAAACAGAATAACAAAAGGGGTTTCATTAGTCTGTATCTCCAGGATTAGAAAGGAGAGTCCCAGCAGGGAGCTGTGAAAGTGACACAAGAGAAGGACAGCAACAAGGCAAATGATCAACAAAAGAGGAGCAGACAAAACATAAAGTGTGTAGAGAGGATTGTTAATGTCGGCCAGCTGCTGCGGCGGCCTGCAGAGGTTTATTGAACGACTGTGAAGTCCAGGTGACCTGTCACACTCCCCAGTTAGCAGCACGCTCCACTATTAACAGCATTTTGCTCTTTATCACCCTGTTGCCAAGTTTATTGCCAGAGCTTACACTAGAGCAAGTGCTGTACACCGCGGTATTTCAAGTCCTGTGTCGTAAACTCTCCCCTAGAAATGCCATACCTCACTTTACTCTTGGCTCTCGACAGCCGACTGTTATTTTCCACAGCTTGTAGCACAGCAGGCAGGGCTGTTTGTGCCTTGTTGCAGCTCCTATCACACCGACTGTTTTAATTTAAAAAAGACAAATGGTTCATGTTATAGTGTGGCTTAATTAATGAATCACTTATTCCTGATTAACCTTTCAAACCTTTCAAATCTTAATCCAGTGTTTTACATTAATTACATAGACTATGGAGGCCCGCCACAATCTAATTTGTTCCACCATAGTTTCAAAATGAACCAAAGATATTTTTACACTTCTCTTAATAACATTAAAGACCTCGTTGAGACTTAATGTTGTGGAAGCTAGCCACACCAAATTTGGAGTGCACACGTATTCGATCCTTCATGGTAATTGCACTGAAATGGACTGCAGCATTTTCTCACTTTACAAAGACAAGTGTTGCAGTATGAGAGTCTTACATGAAGATAAAGTATTAAAGTCTTAATTGTACATGTTACGAACCCAACATACAAAACAATTTCTCAAATTGCGTCGAACTTGGTGAATTTAGCTTGAGGACACACGTGTCGCAGTGTCCAGTTTTCAAAATATGGTGTTAACACAAGATTAATTGGATTATATTCACAGGAAGTATAAAACATATTACATGTTGTCCATTAAAATGGTGATGGCGCATAGATAAGATGCTTGTCTTTGGTGTGGGAGACCTGGGTTCGATTCCCGCTGTGACCATCCACCATTGTGTCCCTGAGCAAGACACTTAACCCCTCGTTGCTCCAGAGGCGTGCAACCTCTGACATATAGCAATTGTTAGTTGCTTTGGATAAAAGCGTCAGCTAAATGGATACATTTAAATGTAATGTAAATGTAATTTTGGGTTGCTTGAAAAACAGTAAATATATTTGTCGACTTTTTTGCTGCATCATCACCATTAATATCTATACAATGTGTTTATGAACAAATTGTTAACCAGAGCACAAAAGCGCAAAGTTCTTCATAGCTCTAGCCTCCTAATTTTACTGTCAAAGTGCACCAAATTAATGCATTTAACTTAAAATTTGCTCTGGGGGCATGCACCCAGACCCTCCAAGAAGATGTGAGGTCCACCCACCATAGTCTCACAAAATCCTGTGGGTAATCCTTTTTCTCAAGACCCTGCTCCCTCTAAAAATGTCAGAAAACAATAATTTTACCCATTTGTTTTTCATGTATTTGCTCCCTGGCTTTCAATTCTACTCAGGGACATCTTTCAATGCCCCATAATTCCCAAACTTCTGGGCAAACAGCGCTCATCTGCCTCATGTTGCCCTCTCCTCTTCTCACAGAGCCTGTCTGAAAAGCTTGCACGTAAGGAGAAAGAGTATCAGGAACTGGAGGAGCGCCTGGGAGCTGAGAAGGCTACCAAGAAGGCAGTTCAGGATAGCCTGAGGGAGAGGGAGCTTGAGGTTCAAGAGCTCCAGGCTCGAGCCACAGGGGCTGAGGCCTCCCTGCAGAAGGCCCAGACGGAGCTCGGAGAGAGGGCTGACGAGGTGGCAAAGTTGAAGAGCGAGGTAACGGACCTGGAGGTGAAGCACGCAGAGCTGAAGGTCGAGAGGAAACAGTTGGAACAGCAAAGGGAAGAAAAAGAGAGCCATGGTGCTCAGCAGCAGACCGAGATCAGTCAGGTGAGGGCGGACAAAAGCCACACACACATGCAGGATGACCTACATTAACAATTGATATACAGATGGGTGACTAAAGAAGCCTTCAGAACAGCTTCAGTGTGCCTTGTGATAGATTTCTCTGGAACTCTGTTGGAGGGATAAACACCAAATGATATTCCCTCATTTGATGTTTTGATGATTGTGGTGAGCGCAACACGTTGCTCCAAAATCTCCCATAGGTGTTAATTTGGGGTAAGGTCTGGTGGCTATGAGGGTCATAGCATATGATTCACGTGCTTTACACACTCCTCAAACTATTCAGTGCCCCCTCAAGCAACGTGGATGTAGATCTGTCATCCTGCAAGAGGGCTCATTTACATTGCTGCAAAAATAACAAGGCTTTTGTATCCTCATGACATCAAACACTGTAGTGGTGAGACAGTGAAGATTTGGCTTTCAGTTAAGAAGAAAATTCAAAACAACAAAATTGACAAAGATGCATATATTTTATGCATTAATATGTTAAAAAAACTAGGTCAGAGGATTCCAGACATCTGCTTTCCTCATCCAAGTATCGACTATATTTCTTGTTTGTAACTTTGACATCTTGCGTTCTCCATCTTAATCATCACCCCTCTCTCTGTGCTCTGGCTAGCTGCACGCCAAACTGCTGGAGGCGGAGAGGCAGCTGGGCGAGGTGCAAGGTCGTCTTAAAGAACAGAGGCAGCTGTCTGGGGAGAAACTAAAAGACCGCGAGCAGCAAGCAGCCGACCTGCAGCTCAAACTGTCCCGTGCAGAAGAGCAGGTAGGCATCAGATGACACTTAAATGATCGCTACAAGGAAAGTGAATTGGTGTAATAGAAGAGACAGGACATATGTTTATAAATGTGAATGCTGTTTAAGTATGCGTCATAAAAAAAACTAAAATTAGAGATATTTAAAGATTCATCAAGATTAAGACCTAACAGTAAGATGCCCAAAGTGACTGTTACCAATGCATTTAGGTTTAGGGCAAAAAACACACAAAAAAAGATTTAAGTGCTCTCCTCTGTGTTTTGTTTCTTCAGTTGAAGGAGAGTGCCAGTAAGAATACAGACCTGCAGCACCAGCTGGAGAAAGCCAGGCAACAGCACCAGGAGCTGCAGGTGCTGCAGCAAAACACCAATGGCAAACTCCGCGAGGCACAGGTACTGTTTACAAGAAAAACTGGCAACAGAACTGGAGAGCATAAAGCCGAAGGCGTTTTAAAATCACTAAGCGTTTCAACTAGTAAATTATATTATACGAAGTTTTGATCTATAGATGTAGCCAGAAACTAGATTGCTCACTTATATATTATATCTAGAAGCTTTATAAGATTATAGCATATTTTCCAAGATCCTGACGCCATAACATTTTGTCCGTTCACAAAACGGGTGTATGAACGTGTGAAAATTGGTGCGGTCTACAGGACATCCCAATATATACCTTAGTCACAACATAAAACCCAGACATGAAATGAATGAATATTTATGCCAAAATACTTAATGTTACCTTTCTGTTACGCTGACTTGCCTTCATGCTGTAGAATGACCTGGAGCAGGTGCTGCGTCAGATTGGAGATAAGGACCAGAAGATCCAGAATCTGGAGGCTCTGCTGCAGAAGAGCAAGGACATTGTGAGCCAGCTGGAAGCCGAGAGAGAGGACTTATGTGCCAAGATCCAGGCCGGGGAGGGAGAGACAGCCGTGCTGAACCAGCTAAAAGAGAAAAACCATGCACTACAAGAACAGGTGGGTGCAGACACACACACACACACACACACACACACACACACACACACACACACACACTCTCTCAAAGGTGAACTTGCTGTAACTTGTAGTGCAAAAGTGATATGAGAAAAGACACATGCCGCTATCCCCCCATCACACTCACACACACACACACACACACACACACACACACACACACACACACTGAAGAAATGTATTGTCTAACTAATACTTGCAGTGTAGATTAAAAATCACAATATAGAAGAGCCAGTTTTATTTAACAATAAATACAGGGAACTTTTGAACTCAACCTTTTTTTTTGTATATGTGCGTCTTAAAGGTCACACAGTTGACAGACAAGCTGAGGAACCAATCGGAAAGCAACAAGCAAGCCCAGGATAACCTACATGAGCAGGTCCAGGAGCAGAAGACATTGCTGCGCTCAGCCCAGGACCGAGCCCACACCCTGGAGACCTCAGTCACTGAGCTCACCGCCCAGCTCGCTGACAGCAAGGAGAAAGTAGCCCAACTGGACGCTCAGGTAAATCACTGTGTTTATATATATTTAATAACATATAATGGGGTTGTTGATGCAGTTCTCCAGTTTGTATTCACAGATTTTAAAATTTTATGTTATCCTACGGAATTTTTTTCAAATTACAATAACAGTTTCTGTGGGTGTGTTTCTCTTAAGCTCAAGGCAAAGACAGAGATGTTGCTATCTGCAGAGGCAGCCAAGGCTGCACAGAAGGCTAACCTGGAGAACAGCCTGGAGACCGCTCAGCATGCATTGCAGGACAAGCAGCAGGTTAGTGCCTTTTTAATGTGCCTTATTTCTTTCCTTTGAAAATATGTCACTCCCTGGCTTATAGATGTTGTTTTCTTCCATTCTCCCTTCACTCTACTTACCTTTTCTCCTCTTATCCTGTACCCTCTCCCACCGTCTTGTATAGGAGTTGAATAAAGTTCAGAAGAAGGTGGAGGAGCATTCTCAAAAGCTCAAGGAGAGACAGGAGCAGTGCACACAGCTGGAAACCAGTCTGAAGAAATGCAACGACTCACTAATGGCATCAGAACAGCGTATAGAGCAGCTGGAGGGGCTTAATAAGGTTTGCATTGAGTCTTTATTTTAGGTACCTGATACTCTACTGTAAGAGGGGTAAATTTTTCCTGTCTCAAGTGCCCTCAGTTTACATATATCTTGTTTTTTTATAAATTAATCTGGTGTTTGAATCTGACAGAAATTGGAGTCACAGGTTGGGGAGATGCAGGCCACCAGGGACCAATTGCACCAAGAAGTGCAGATGCTGCAGAAGGAGGGGTCAGAGGTTAAACGGAAAGCCAAGGAGCTGCAGCGCTCGCTGGAAACAGAGAAAGCAGGGTGAGATAAACTATACTAGCGCATTAGCTTCATTAAAATATGATGAAGATTTCCAAGCAACAAATCCAGCTGTAATTAACAAATTCAAATACAAATCAGCTTTATTGGCATGAATGTATAACCACAATATTGCCAAAGCTACATATAAATTACATAAGAACAATTAATTTCATACATTTCATTAAATAAGTTATGTTACATATTTTAAAGATATATCAAAAAATAAAATAAAACTAAATAAATGAAACGGTGGTGCAGTGGTCCGCACTGTCGCCTCACAGCAAGAAGGTTCCCCGGCCTTTCTGTGCGGAGTTTGCACGTTCTCCCTGTGTCCGCGTGGGTTCTCTCCGGGTGCTCCGGCTTTCTCCCACCGTCCAAAGACATGCAGGCTAGGCTTAATTGGTGTCTCTAAATTTAGGTGTGAATGTGAGTGTGAGGTGTTGTCTGTCTATGTGTGTCCCTGCAATGGACTGGCGACCTGTCCAGGGTGTACCCCGCCTTTCCCCCAATGTCAGCTGGGATTGGCTGGATCCGCGACCCTGTACGCAGGATAAGCGGTTGACGATGGCTGGATGGTAACTTGTCTGTTATTATAATAATATTAATAATGAAAATAAAATAGATAAAACTGTAAATGTGTGTGTGTGTGTGTATTAATAGACAAAAAAATAATTAATTTAAAAAAAATTTACATTTATAATTATATTAATTACTAAAATATCAAACAATCAAAATAATAATTTGTCAGTCTGAGTTTCCACTGGTTGTCCTCAGTTTGTGGCATGAGGAGATATTTTGCAGCAATTATTTGACATTTGGCCATTTCTCCCAGTAAATAGGGGAGTTTCTGTGTGTAACCTCTAACCCTCTCTAAATGTATTTTAATGATGACACAATATTTGTTCTGCTGTATTTTAATGAACAACCCCTAATATAACACAAATGTATTTCACACTGTTAAGGGCTACAACACTACAGGAGGAATTGAAGAATAAAGCAGCTGCTTTGAGTGACATTCAGCAGCAGATGGAGCGCAGTGAGCAGGAGAAAGTCGCTCTGAAGGTGAACCTGGACAAGGTGACCCTGGAGGGAAAGACTAAGCATGCAGAGCTGGACAAGAAAGCTCAGAGTCTGGCAGTAGACTTAGACAAGGCCCAACAGGATAAAGAGGCTCAAAGAAAGGAGCTTGCCTCTATGCAGGGGAGCCTAGCAAACGCTAGTAAGGCACTGAAAGAGAGTCAGACTCAACTGGACACAGAGAGGAAGAATCACAAGTCAGCCATGGAGGAGAAGGTAGGTTGAGTAAGCTGCAGTCAAAAACAAAACCAGTTTAGACCACACCGACATTATTTTTTGACTTAGGGAAATTTGTCTTTAAACAAAGAGTAACAAATAGCCGACTAGTTAGAACACTGGGACACTGACAACATTAATCTGTCTTAATCCTCAGGAAAAGTCCAATGAAAAGGCCAGACAGGAGCTTCTGAAGAATAATGAGGCCGTCACCAAGGCAATGAAAGAATCTAAAGAGCAGTTGGAGCAGATGAGAGAGGTAAGCTTCTGGGAAAATGGAAGATCAGGCATTATTGTTTTGAAAGTAACACCTAAAGACCTGTTGTGTGTCTACAAATGTCAGACAGAGAAAAAGTTGAAAATGCAGCTCACCACCGTGGAGCAGCAGCACTCAAAGGCTCAGGAGGCACTGAAGGAAAAAGAGAATCAGTTGGAGAAGCTGCGGGCACAACTTAAGACGGCCCAGGGCTCCTTTGAGGAGGAGGTGAAGAAACTGAAGGGCCAAGTGGCAGAGTTACAAGAAGTTAATGTCAAGAAGGCAAGTAGCATTTTTTAAATACAAATACTGACATTGTCATTGCACTTAACCACACAGCTATATTTACAGTGAGAGATTATCTGTATTTTCCACAGGGTTGTTGTGAAGTAATTTGTGTAAGTACAATCTTATGTGTATGTTTACGTGTGTATTTGACTCTTATCTCCAGGCAGAAGAAGAGACCAAGCTGAAGGCCCAGGTGTCGGGGCTCGGTCAGGAGCTGGCCTCTGAGAGGAGTCGGACAACAGAGCTGCAGAAGGCCTCGGAGCAAAGCCAGCAACGCTTCACTAAGCTTCAGTCCGACTTCTACGGCAAGGAGTCTGAGGTCTCTGCCCTCCGTCAAGACCTGAAGGTAGGTTTATGAAAGAAGGGCTGGAGGAGTAGGACTGGCTTCATTTAAGGGATGTTATGTGATGCTGCATCATGTTGAACAAATTTTCAGAGATGGATCGCTGACAGGGAGGGGTGGTTGAATGAAATGTTTGCTAACAAAATGGACGTGTGCTCATCTGAGCAGTTCCCTGCTGCTTTTATCGATTTCTCTCTCGAACCTCCCCTGTGAGTGACTTTTGACCTTTCTCTCACTGCAGGCGTCAGAGGAGAAGCTGAACGTGGCTAAGGAAGAGTTGGCTGCTAACCGAACCCATCAGACAGGTTTAGAGGCTCAGATCCAGGAACTGCAGAAGGGCCGGGGCTTGTTGGAGCAAGAGCTGGCAAAACGGGACCAGAAGCTCCAACAGCAAGAACAAACCCTGAGGGAACTGCAGAAACAACAGGTCAGACAAATGGATTTACACAAACAGACACGAAAACTTCCATGGCTTGATTTGATTAAGTTCATATATTGTAAATTGCACTTCATCACCCAGGGTCAAGTAAAAGAGGAGGTGGAGAAGGAGAGGAGCAAAGTGGAGGAGCTGAACAAAGCCAAGAGTGTCCTTGAAAAGAGTAACACCAGAGTGACTTCAGAATTAAAAGCATTAACGGAGAAGAGCGAGAAGGTTAGTCACTTTTCATTCGAAGCAACAACTAACAATGTCGTTCTTTTGATTTAAAGGGGGAGAGAGAGGCTGGAATATACTTAAATTGTTTGTTGTACAAATGTAGGAGCCCAGTAATTATCATTTTATGTGCCATATTGGCTTACTTGACCTGCTTCCCATGCTTGTGTCTTATGTAAACGTCTTCACTTAGGAAAACTGCAGGTCACTAGGGCCACATTCTTCAAAATTATAACTTTGCGTGCTTGAGTCAATACTTTTTTCAGTTCTTCAAAGCCATCACTAACTTTCCTAAGCTCAAGCATTTTAAAGTTTAACCCCATTGTTTCTTTTCAGGAGCTGGGTGAGTTGCGGGAAGCCAAACAGCTGTTGATCCAGCAGAAGCTGGAGCTGCAGGGTCAGGTGGAGGCAGCACAGAGTGCCATGGAGCAGGAGCAGAAAGAGCACCAGGCCACCAGGGACAGCAGGAACCAGAGGGAGGAGCAGCTATTTGCCCAAACCAAGAATGTCCAGGATCAGTTGGTAGGCTACACCCGCCAAATCATTTTAATTTTATTAGCATGTGAAATGTCATTCTCCCCCTCCTGATCCCTTTCGTGACGTGATCGATGCTTCCTTCCAAAGTTGGCAGAGAAGCGAGCCAGAGAAGAGCAAGTGAAGCGTAGGGAGGAGGCCGAGGCTAAGATGGGTGTGCAGGTGACTGCTCTGAATGAAAACGTGGCCACGCTGAAGAGGGAGTGGCAGGGCAGCCAACGCAGAGTCGGTGAACTGGAGAAGCAAACAGATGAGCTGAGAGGAGAGATCGCTGTGCTGGAGGCCACCGTCCAAAACAACCAGGATGAGAGACGGGCTCTTTTGGAAAGGTGCGTCTGATATTGTTTTAACAACATGGCCCCCGGCATACAACAATTCTTTGTTTCATAAAAGTACTTAAAAGTCTTAAAAGGTTTTTGCATTTTCATGAGTTAGGAATGCACAGATGATTTCCAGAGGGCACATACAGATTATTAAAACAATTTGCATCCAGTGCATCAGAGGTCACCAGGATTTTATTATTTTTCTTCCAATGTAACACATCCCTTCAAAACGTGCACTCTTCAGTTTCAAGAAGAAAAAAAAAACAATTAGGCAGTGTGAAATTAATTTAGTTTTAAACATTAATTAAAATAATAATAATAATCTTTATTAGACTGTCACTCTGAGCTGCTGAGCATTGCTGCAGGGTTAGTTTTGCCCACATCTCTCCTACAACTTTAAATTTACTCATTTACAGTCTCAATTTTAAAGAACCTAATTTCCTTGGGCATAGCAAATGATAATTAAAATTATAATGTAGAAAACTACCAATTCATTATATATTAGGCCTATTATAGGATGGTACATGTTCCACCGCACCACACTCACAGAGGAAAAAGGAAAATTTAGAGTCACTAAGCAAGAAGGCATCAGTTTGGACAGGAGTAATAGAACATGGAGGGCTGACTACACGAAGGAACAGACACTGAACGTGAGTCAGCAGGTTCGTCTATATACAGTATGTCCAATTTCTATTTGCTTCATCTTCCAAATGTAGGGAAAGCCATTGTTCTGCACTGTTAACAGTACACCACATTTACACCTGGTATTAAAATGCTATCTGTAAATCCGGATAAAAAAATCGCATGTTAATGCAAGTTGTAAATGCATCGTGATCGGATCTGCCTGACCACATCAGGAGAGAGTCAGGGCCGCATTGTGTTTGGATCTTAGGTAGGTGTCTCTAGTCCACAACAGATATTTGTTTTTAGCGAAACATAAAACATAGCAAGCGAGAAGGCTGAAAAGGCTGTGCAGCTGATCTGCTGTGAACAAGGCATATCATTGATCTAGTCACAGAGTAGCTTACACGCCGGTAGTCTACTGCAACACACCAGGACAAACCAACACAGTATTTTTCATATATAGAAAGGAATAACTTTATGCATTACGTTTACAAGAGTGGACAAATAAATAAGAATTTGCAGTAGACAGAATTTCACAAAGTTTATAAAGTTTCCCTTAACTCACTAACTCACAAAACAACGTAACTGGTTTTTAAGGGAGTCTTGGGCGGACCACCTCAAATCAATAACATGCAGGAATTGCTCTGAAGGACTTAGATCCGGTCTCAGTGAGGATAACAAGTACAATAACATATCCGTATACAGATCACAATACCAGGTGACACTCAGACAGTGGCGCACTGCACGGAGTACAGCTCGTTGTTGTAGTGTGTACTGTGACAGGGCAAAGCTCCTCATTTCCAAGTGTGCGTAGACCACCACTGTGCACTTAGCTGTACATGTGGTGCACAAGTCCTCAGAGTACTGATGTCTTAATTTTTTTTATTTTAATTTTGTGCACTCCCTTATCTAATCTTTTAATACCACCATCGATGAGTAACTCGTGAAAACATGGATTAACTTAGCACAAAAGTCTCCACTAGTTGACATGTGCACCCAAACTCATCAGTGTCCTGTGGTTGTGTTACAGGTGTGTAAAGGGCGAAGGCGAGATCGAGAAACTGCAGGCCAAGGTGGTTGAGCTGAGGAGGAAGCTGGACGACACGACGGCAGCCATGCAGGAGCTCGGCAGAGAGAACCAGTCGCTCCAGGTCAGTCGGAAAACACTCGAAGTTGTACAGCGAAGTAAAATAACAAAAGACTACAGATATGTTCGGCGGTCATGTACAGCAATTGTCAAGTTTGCTTTAAGATTCTTTATTGCAGACGCTCTGAATGTAAGTCCTGCTGTTGTTTTTAGATCAAGCAGTCACAGTCTCTGACCAGGAAGTGGGCTGAGGATCACGAAGTGCAGAACTGCATGGGCTGTGGGAAAGGCTTTTCCGTCACCGTCAGGAGGGTAAGAATGAAGTTTTCTTAAGGGTTGGGGCTAGTAGGCAAAAGGACACACATTTCACTGTCTGCCTTGTAACATGCACCACCTCTCTCCTTCTCCCCTGTGAATATCCAGCACCACTGCAGACACTGCGGAAACATTTTCTGCGCCGAGTGTTCAGGGAGGAACGCCCTCACGCCGTCCTCTAAAAAGCCAGTACGGGTCTGTGAGACGTGCTTCGAGGAGCTCCAAGGCTGATTCCCCCCCCCATCCCTTTACCTCCCCCCACCCCCCCACCCCCCTTCCTACTCCTCCAGCAGGCAGAAGAAGGCGTGTCTTTGTCATATTTTTAATGTGCACTATAGAGGACAGGCCCACTGCAAAGACCTCCCACCTGCATGTGACTTCTGGCTCTGGTGTGGAGAGAAATTACTGAAGAGACACCAGAGCCATGTGATGGGATTGGTTGGGATTGTCTGTGTGTGTTTTTGTGCCTTTTGCTGCTCCTGTGGACTGCCAGAGAGCAGAGACAGTGAGAACTAAACACCATCCATCTCTTTTAAGTTGATATTCACATTCTCCATCGTTGTTTGGCATCATTGGCAAAATGCAAAGTGGTTGCTTTGTTGTATTGCAAGAGTGACTGGGGAAGTTGAAAATCACTGCTGCCCTACAAAGGTAAATGCAGGTAACTGCCCCCCCCCCCCCCCCCCCCCCGAAAAAAAAAAGGTAAATGCTCGATGAAACATATTTTCTACTACACCAGTCTAATCACTAATTAAGACATTTAAATTCAGATTTTTATAGCAAGAAAGTTAAACTCTAAAATTATTTTTGGATATTTTTGGGATTATTTTTATTCAGTGTGTGTAATGCAGATTTGACATGTGCATACAGAGAGAGGTGTGTTGAAATAGTTTTTTGGAACCGAAAGAAATCATTATCTGTGCTTAAACATGCTGTCTACACCCAAAACAAGGTGATCAATGCTTGTTACTTTATCAGCTGATGTTGATGTTTGTTGACATGATTTCATGAAAATCTAAAGTGGAGATATTACATTTAAGTATATGAATTATGTTTTTGTAAATACTGTTCTGTTAACTTTTTGTTCACAGCAAAGATGTTTCAGATTTTAGGATCAAACGGCAAGAAAAAAATGCCCTAAAGAAAACAGTTCATCAGTCGATTTATGCACCAGCGATTTTCTGTACAGGACTTGAGATCAACCGTCAAATCAGTTACTTCACGTTTCCTTTGTACGGCAGCCTGTTTGCGTCTTTGTTGAAATTTATGTAATGTATTCAGCCTATTTCATGACCAAAGAATGTCTGCAGCAGGAATACAGCCGAGATGAAACCCCTGAGTTTGTTTCATAGTTCAGTATTTTTCTAAGTAGGTGTCTCTATTTGAGTTGAGCTTTTGAGTTTTAAATCACAGGGTCCTACATTTTTATCTTGAACACAGCATGTATGACGACCTGAGCGGCTTTTATGTACCGTCACTTGTTTTTGCTGTGCCACATTTCTCTGTTGAGGGTTAATTTCTGCAAATTTTGGTGCTTTCGGCAGACTGGTTATGCAGTCATTGAAGGTGCCTGCGTGTTGATGTTTTTTTTCCTGCTGCTTGTTTCCACTGAGCAGCACTGACTACTGCTGGAGCTGTGTGTGCGAGTTTGAGTGTGTTTGTGTGTATGCGCGCACGCTCTGCTTTGAAGCAATAACTGTGTGTGATGTTGCTGTAACAGAGTGTGTGTTTTAGTGTTTAGGCCTGCTGTGTCTGTGTGCTCAGATGCACTGTACGATTGTTGTTCTGCTCAGAACCTCAGTATCTCTCTGGCACGTTGTCTGGATGTCGGTGCTGCTTTCAGGTGCAACGGTTGCTGTTGCTTCTCTGTCCAACCAGCCTGCAGCTGAGCACACTGTCAAAGTAAATTCCTGCTTTGTATAATTTATAATTGTTGATAGTGGTAAGATCTTTTGTGCAATTGTCTGAAGACTGGAACAGGCGAAAACACTGTAAACCAGGCGATAACGCAGGCTGTTCTGGCATTCTGCAACAAGCAGCTTGCTTCAGACTTTGGCTTACCAGATTAACTCTTTATGCTTGTACGCTCAGTAAAAAAAAAAAAAACCACGTCCATCTCAGTTGCAAGCACTCAAGAACACCTGTCTCTTTTTGTGTTGCATTGGTTTTGTTTTGTCTACCTCAGATTGGCACAGGAAAAGCACTATTTCTAAATCTTAGAGATCACAAATGTCATTGCTTGCATTTCAAAAATTTGTGATTTATCTGTCAAACTGTACAGTCCCTTAAAATACCTAGAGAAATGATTTGCACCTTATTGTATTCCGGGCTCGTTCGTATAAGAATCCAGCCACAAACGTAGGAACACCAACTTTATACAAGCTTCAGCATTTCTAGCCCTGATGTACTTAATTGCTCATTAATACTAAGGCTGTCACAGTTGTCTTTGTAAATGTTTGTAATGAAAGAGAAAAAGGAACTATATAACACTTGTGGACGTAGACACATGATGACAGTGAAAATGTGTGTGGACTCATCAGTGTCTTAGTCATTTTTACAAAATGGCTTCACAGAGCTGTACACACTGATTTGTGGCTTGCTTTGTGTTGCTGTCAGTTATCATGCATGATGACTCAACTGGCCCACACGTTTCCTCCACATTTAGTGGCATCATACAGTATTTGATGGTTGTGAAGGTGTGCCTTAGGCCAACGTCTTGTACGTCACTGCTCACTGTCAGCGGTGACACACACCGTGTATTTACCACAGTCAGGGTGACCTTGGTTCACCAGAAGGGACGAGAGAAATAATGTAATTTATGTTCACATGCACCAGTTGATTTTCTAATTCATCGTCATGACCTAAATAAAACTTACAGTATGTTTCTATTTCCTCGTGTGTTGTTTTTTTTTTTGTAGACAATTACTAATTTAAGAAATGCATAATGGTTTTAAAAATAAATGACTGTATTTTATGTCTTGATAAATACAGCTGCTGAATTCATCAATACGCCTCATCTCTCTTGAGGTAAAATTTGGTTTAATTTTGAGTTTGTTCACCAAGCAAGACCTTTTTAATTTGAGGATCAAAGCTCGTTCTTGACCTTGGAGACAGCAGTTGGAAAAACAGTCTCACCTCAAGGACCAGTTAGTGTCTGCTCTGGAGCTTTCACCCAGTTGTCGTGGAATTGTTGATCTCCATGTTTCACTTTAAAGCACTTGTTGGTTTAAAAAATTGAGACTCACACCTCCAAGACCATGTGATATGATCAAAAGCTCAAGAACTTCTGGAACTTGAGGTGAAACTGTTTTGTCAAGTTCTTAAATGTCACTGTGAGAACTGCATGGAGAAAGTACAGGTGCTGGTCATATAATTAGAATATCATCAAAAAGTTGATTTATTTCAGTAATTCCATTGAAAAAGTGAAACTTGGATATTATATTCATTCATTACACACAGACTGATATTTCAAATGTTTATTTCATTTAATTGTGATGATTAAAACTGACAACTACTGAAAATCCTAAATTCAGTGTCTTCGAAAATTAGAATATTACTTAAGACCAATACAAAAAAAGGATTTTTTGAATTGTTGGCCAACTGAAAAGTATGAACATGAAAAGTATGAGCATGTACAGAACTCAATACTTAGTTGGGGCTCCTTTTGCCTGAATGACATGGAGTCGATCAGTCTGTGGCACTGCTCAGGTGTTATGAGAGCCCAGGTTGCTCTGATAGTGGCCTTCAGCTCTTCTGCATTTTTGGGTCTGGCGTATCGCATCTTCCTCTTCACAATACCCCATAGATTTTCTATAGGGTTAAGGTCAGGCAAGTTTGCTGGCCAATTCAGAACAGGGATACCATGGTCCTTAAACCAGGTACTGGTAGCTTTGGCACTGTGTGCAGGTGCCAAGTCCTGTTGGGGAAAAAAAATCTGCATCTCAATAAAATTGGTCGGAAGCATGAAGTGCTCTAAAACTTCCTGGTAGACGGCTGTGTTGACCTTGGACCTCAGAAAACACAGTGGACCAACACCAGCGGATGTCATGGCACCCCAAACCATCACATTTTTGAATGGGTTTTGTTTCACAATCCTCTCCACAGTGCGGTTATTCCTATTGTTTTATTTCTACCACATCTTTTCCTTCCCTTCGCCTCTCTATTAATGTGCTTGGACACAGAGCTCTGTGAACAGCCAGCCTCTTTAGCAATGACCTTTTGTGTCTTGCCCTCCTTGTGCAAGGTGTCAATGGTCGTCTTTTGGACAGCTGTCAAGTCAGCAGTCTTCCCCATGATTGTGTAGCCTACAGAACTAGACTGAGACTGAGAGACCATTTAAAGGCCTTTGCAGGTGTTTTGAGCCAATTAGCTGATTAGAGTGTGGCACCAGGTGTCTTCAATATTGAACCTTTTCACAATATTCAAATTTTCTGAGATATCGATTTTGATTGATTTGATTTCTTCTTCTTCTTTTGGGGTTTTCATTAGTTGTCAGTTATAATCATCAACATTAAAAGGAATGAACACTTGGAATATATCAGTCTGTGTGGAATGAATGTATACATTATACAAGACACTCAAACCAACTTTTACTACATAATCCGATATTTATTGTACACAACGGCAGCAGCTGACTTTAAAAGGCAAACATTTAGTTTACAAAATTATCCTAGTGCTAGTACAGTCATTTACAAGACGTCAGGAGGAGAGTGAAGTGCACATTGACAGTAGACTCATTTCTGATGGCTTCTAGTGTTGGTTGCTGGGTCATATCTGTGAAGACTCCAGCCACAGGGCGGAGCTCTTGAGTCGAGGCTGCTGAGAGTCCAGCTTCAGCAGCGCCGTTACAGCGCCCTCTATCTTTGACATCCACACTCTCTGGAAAAGTCACACACAAAGTTGTTCAGAAAGTGAAGTCTCACCAAGTTTACACTCCAGCACTTAGCAGCTCAAGATGATAATGATTTACATGTTTGCATATGTCTTCATTTTTTAAAGTGGATTGATATGAGCAATCACTAGTTCTGTGCTAGAGCTTACAATATGGCCCCACACATGTAAGATCATTACTGACCACTGACATAAATATTTTCCTTTCATTTATAGAAAGGACACAGTTACATAAGATTCACTCAAGTAGAAATTAATGTAAATTATATTGTAGTGTGCACAAATCTTTGAACTAATATGAGTTCCTAACTGCATGACAATTTATAAAGTTTAAGACTAACTTGCAGAAGAAAACACATGAACACTGTAACTGCAAGAATATGTGGTAAATCTAAATTAAGTGATGAAGTTTATTTGGAAATCCTCTAAACCCTTATACAAAATTGCCTTGAGCAAAACATTATTTTTGTGATACCAGTGACATATTTTGTTGATCCTACACAGACAGCAGAAATGCTTGGATGTAATTAACAAATTCACACATGACGTTGCACATCTGTATGGTATTTGCATGTTATTTTAAGGGACAGTGTAATCTGTGCTCTGCTAGCTTATAGAAGACTGCATGCCTTTTGAAACTTCTGAGAAATTCATAGTGGAAGTGAATCTACCTTGGCAGATTCAGACGCGGCTTGCAGGATGAATGCACCGATACATTGCTGGTAGCGGTTTTGGTGCATGATTATGAAAGAGTGAGGCAGCCCAGATGCTGCAAGAGAAGCACAAAATTCCATTAACTTCCATCAACTGTAACACACAATGCTGATATACAGAGAAGTTTATCAAGACCCAGCACGACCATTTGATTCTGCTGTGCGCTCTGAACATATCCACTCACTGATATTAGATAAATAATCGAATCATTATAATAAATCGTAAATCATTACTACATGTGACAGTGAATAAGCAGCCTGCAATGTGTCCTTAATGTGGGATATGTTTAGTGCTTGAAACCCAATGAACTCAACAAGAAAGAAGGTCTAAATTACTGTTATTACTTGAGGCATTGAGCTGATCGATGTTCTTGAGCTGGAGTCGGTCCAGAGAGATGGGCTGGTCCAGGACTGTGAAGGTGCATCCCTCCTTCAGCAGCTGATCCAGCTCCAGGTTCTGTGGCAGCCTCAGAGGATTCTGCTCTGGACCGATGGACCGCTACACAGGAAGACAGGACACAGCATGAACAGGCTATGAAGCTTCTCTACAGTGTTACAACAGCCTAATACTGAATATCTACTGTGGTCCAGGGGTCCATTCGCGAAAGCAGGTTTAACAAACTCTGACTCTAACCCTGAGTTGATGAACCCTGAGAAAACTCAGTTTTCAGTTCCAGAGCAGCTGATCAGAGTCACACAGGCTCTGGCAACAGGTAGATAAAATGCAGGCTGTGCACATTTATCTTTAAAGAAAGCATCTGATTCAGAGTGGGGAAAGTGTCAGTAAGTTAAGACAAAGTTTTATTCAGTGTTGTCCATTAATTCATCATTAAACAGACGATAAAGATGATAAAGTGGTGCAATCTGGCTGTGTGTTACATTTTAAATCTATTTGTTCAGCTTTAATCTGACGGGGACAAAACACAGCAACTGAAAATGAAAAATATATAGATCAAAGACATAAAGACTTGACTGTAAGCTCACAATCTGCTCCAGTAGTAATGTGTTGACTTGTTCACTTGAAAATGCGCTGAGGTTAAAATACAGCCGATTTTAAATTTGAGATATCTATTTGGATCTCGGCTCAACAGCATTCATTGGCTTTATTTCAGCTGCTTTACTTCAACAAATGTAGGAAATACTGAAATGCTGTTAAAACATGGTCAGACTATACGCAGCCTATTTAAAAAACAACTCACTTTCAAACTACATTTTGCAGCTGCACCACAATCCTGCTCACAAATATAATACATATAATATAACATATAATGCCCAATATTAAAGGAATTATGTTCCATCAGTGCGACCAATCACATCATTAGTGATAGAGATGGTTATTCACTGATCCTACATATCTCGATTATTCAATTTAAACTGAGATTACACATTATGTACACCAAACATTTTACTGGGACTGCTCTGAAAACTGGCAGCTGTATTGTGTGCAGAGTCAATGTTGCCATGTAGTTTTATTCTGAGCTGTCATGCTGTGAAATATTTAAATGAGATGGCAAAAACCGCTGTTTAAACAATTGACAGCACATAAAAGTGGTAACTTTAGATAGTCCTGAGTAAGAAAGTAATATCCAACCAGGATTTAGATTATGATATACAGGAAATCTTCACTAACTGATGCACTTTCATACGGACTGAATCAATGAAGAAATCAAACTGTGTGTCTGGCTCTGTCAGAGGGAGGAAACAGAGACAAACAGGGTTTGTTGAAGAAAACATTCCAGCGAGCAGTTTGATCCTGCCAGTAACATATGCTTGTGTCAGATTAAGCCATGCAAGTCTAAGTTCATGTGGTAACGTGGTACATTTAAGTTTAAGTTACTTCTCTTTCAATTAAATTCAATACAATTCAAGACCTTTACTTGTCCCTGAGGGGCAATTAGTTTTACCGCAGTAGCAATAAAATTAGACAAAACACAACAATGACAAAAGCAATGAAAATTAGCAATACAGGGGGAGACAAAAACATAAAAAACGTTTTCATTATGTTCCTGGAACTGAAAACCCAGTTTTGCTCATCTCAGGGTTAACTAACTCATTGTTTTCACTAAACCTGCTTTCTGGACAGAGTGACGTACCTTCTTGTTTCTCTTGATCTTGGTGATCAGCAGGAATTCGTCAAACAGGAACAGATAAACATCTATCAGCTTTGTGTTCTCTGGTAATGAACCACAGAAAGATGGTGTTAAGATTTTGCTCAAATCGAAGCACAAAGCACGCAAAAGGTGTTGGCATTATGCCAGCTGTACACACCTATGAGCACAAGTTTCCCTTCATGCAGCAGACTTCTGTGGGAAATAAGATTCTCCAGAGTGACAGCCTTTAAGAGATGTTTCAGATTCTGAAAGAGAAGCGGATAAGCCGATAAGAAAACATTTTCACCTTTTGACACATACGCTGATCTAATTTTCTGATACCAAAGTAACAGCTAATGACACACTGTGCTGTAAAATTCTCTTGCTTTTCATGAGATGTGATTTCGCATCCAGATAAACGATTGGATCATCTTATATGCACACAAAAGGTATTAGAAGATAAAGTGCTTGTGCATATCTGCGACTTTTATGCTTTGCTCTGTCAACAAAGCTCTTAACCAGACAGACCTCAGGGACGAAGGCACGCTTGTCTCTCTCCCACACAGGCAGCCACACCAGGGCATCTCTCAACTGTTTCACTTTCTGGTAGTTATCCAGCCATTTGACCTTTCCCTCTAAATCACCTGGAAACAGAGAGCATCATTTCAATCAAGACGGACAAAGACAGACAAAAACCACTGACTCTGAAACCTTTCAAATGGTTGATTTCTTGACTTTTAAGAATGTACTATACTCACATAAATTACGCCTTTTATTCTAAATGACAGATAAAATTGTTCCTTACAGCGTGACAACATGGATAATAGAGCACTACGTTGTTATCTTGTTGTGTTTTCCTGTGTAGTGATGGTTGCCTGCCAAACACAGGCGTTACCATATCGTGATAGATTACAGTAAACTTTTAAAGTGACTATCCTTCCACACCCAGAGGACATTGCCCGACACATCTTACAATAGACGTGTTTGCAACACTCCTCATCACCTGTGCAGCCCTGCCACACCTTTTTAATGGTTTATTGTGTAATTATATATGTTTGAGCCCATGCCATTTTAATTTTTAAGGTTATTTATTCAGTACAACAAAATGACATTGAGGTGCAGTGCTGCAGCAGAGTTCCCACGGCCTGTCCATCTAGTTACAGAGTAAACCGCCACAACAGGTCTGCAGGCAGAGGCATGCTGTGAAGAACAAACGGCCAGGGCCCCTGGCTGCCATCCAAAGGCATGTACCCTTTATGCTCTGAAAGACAAACTGTATGCGTTTGTGTTGACGAAAGTAACGTAATTTACATCTGTTAAACATGATTCTTGTATCTCAATACTGGTATATTGTAAACCACCTGCTGACAAACACCCGACTCATTATCAGCTTAATGACATCGCTGAGATGTCTGACACGTGAAGCTCAGAGGAAAGTTCAGCTACAAGTGATATAACTAACCCCACAACAGTACAAAGTGGGGAAGAACATCACTGTTTTGTGTAAATAAGAGCATATTTTATAGTGATGCATGCTTAAAAAAAGGGAAGTAAGTCAGTGTGGTGTATGCTGCTCACATATAGATGTGTCCACTTGCTCAATTATAACCTGCAGGCCTCTGGTCTCGTCCTCCGTCTGGCTTCTCTTCGCAATATTCCGCAACAACAACGGGTATCGAGTTAGCCTCTGCAACGGCGCCACCAACAGGTCACGCAGTTGCAGCCTTCGGCACTGTTCGTTCCTCTCACACCACTGGGGAGAAAGAGGGGAGAAAGAGGGAGGACAGGGTGAGAGGTGGAAAAAGAAGGAGGTCAGAGGGGTGAGCCAGCACATCACTGTGTTTGTTAGCCCAGAAGGGTAATGTAGGGGGATGGGTTTTGAAAAGTGTGTGAAGACAAATGAGATTGAAGGCCTAAACACAATGAGAGCCCTAACAAATACATAAGCGTGATGACAGGGAATGTTACACAAGGGACAGATGGCCACATTCCTTTCATCCTCTCTTTGGCAGGCCTCGGTGACACCAAACTGGTTGTTTGCCATTTAAGCAGCAATGATGCCGTGTGTATCGCATTTGTCAAGGTACATGGAGTCCTTGCCACTGCCTTAACTCAAAGGGTGAGTTCCCTCCCGCACCTTCACGTAAGATCCAAAGTCCTCTCTGAGCTTCAGGCTGTCCAGATAAAGCAGAGCTGTGGAGTAGTTGAGGCAGTACTTCTGCAGGCAGTGACATATGCTCTCCTGGTAAGCCTGGCAACAGATAGGAGTGTTATACAAACATCAGGATGCAGACTGCTGGGTCACATCAGCAATTAAGCTGTAGATAAACAGATCATAAAAAAGGCAATAAGGTGCCAGTCTTTCTACAAGCACAAAAAAACTGAACCTGTGCGTCAAAGATATTCTCCAGGTACTGTGAGGTGAATTATTTCCTCTTTGGTGCTCTTGTGATGCATCATTTAACAGTATGATGAATAGGTTTTGACGCTCCAAATGATTTATCAAAGAACAACATATTAAACTAGGATTGTTGTAGTTTTGTTTTTTCACAGTGAGTCAGAGGACGTGTGAGCTCTTCGAAGCAACCTGATCCAGTCACAGTCATGAATATGATTTCTTCTTATTAATATTTTATTCTGGAGAGGCTCCTGTGGTGGGAGATGAGACTGAGAACAGACTGGCAACAGATGATGGTAAAAACATATAATGTAAACTATGAAACTATAAACTATGACTATGAAAAACTTATTTAAAACTAACGAACTATTAGTGACAATACAAGTCACAACCACTGTACTGTATATAATAGTAATAATTGGTGATATTTAATGTGTTTAATGGGCACACATATCCAGCATACATTTAGAAAGTTTTGTCTTCAAGTGTGAAACACCTATGAACGTCTTATCAGTGGAGTTTTACAAGTGAATGAATAACTGAGTGTAGACTGCAGTGAGAGTCAATGTTTTAGTGTGTGTCCACTTGCCTTGCGCAGCAGCTCCAGCAGGGTGGGCCCGCCACCCTCAGTAATCTCCAATGTGTCCTTGATGACGCGGAGGAGGTTGTTCAGGAAACCAAAGCTCACCTGCAGCAGAAAACACTCAGTGTCAAGTGTCAGCGCACAGCAGTCTCACACCTCAAGTCACTTTCAGTTTGCTAACAATAGAAAGAATTTGATGAAAGAGCAGAATCATCTTAACGTTAAGTGCTGTATGAAATTAGATATGGTATTAATGTTTCGTCTTAATTACTTGATTTACAGGACATTGTGACTTTATCACAAAGTATAATACTCCTAATAAAACAATGCCTAAAATGACCATCCATCCATCGTCAACCGCTTATCTTGCGTACAGGGTCGCGGGGGGGCTGGAGCCAATCCCAGCTGACATTAGGCGAAAGGCGGGGTACACCCTGGACAGGTCGCCAGTCCATCGCAGGGCCACACACAGACAAACAACCACTCACATCCACACCTGAGGACAATTTTAGAGACACCAATTAACCTAGCCTGCATGTCTTTGGATGGTGGGAGGAATACTCAGTTAACCCAGAGAGAACCCACACAGACATAGGGAGAACATGCAAACTCCACAAAAAAGGCCGGGGAAACTGGGGCTTGAACCCACAACCTTTTTGCTGTGAGGCAACAGTGCTGACCACTGCGCTACCGTAAAATGACCAATATAAAAATATTATTCCCTATGAACGATGCAGTCCTTTGATGTCCCCGGTCCCTTTGTTTTCACAAGTAACTGTAGGTTAACTGTGAGAATGCTGTTGCAAGATGCATCATTCACCAAAAGACTTCCCTATGAGTGAATTAAAAAATTCAATAGAAACTCTCCTCATCACCTCAGTGTGGATACCAACAATAAGAACGCTATGTATGTCATAAATTAAGTAATTGATTTTATTTTTATGGTTTTATGCTGTTTATGTTGTTTCTAGGATTAAATATTTTATATGATAACATTAAAAATGGTCTCCATGATTTCTCTGTTTAATTCAGATTTTGCTACTCATTGCTACTGATCCCAGGGCTCTTCAAAAAGAGATGTTTAATCATCTCGTTAAATGAAGGTGTAATAAATAAATCATTCATCATCATCTGTAATTTTTCACATTTCGATGCTTTTGTAAATATTTACATAATACACTTAAAAATAGCAGGCCTCACACTACTTATTTGCATTACGTCTCACCAGGCAAAGCTCATTGAGGTTAGCAAACAGCCTCCAATAGTCGACATCAGTCAGGCAGTTCCTCATATGCAGGTTTGTGAGTGTAGCCAAAAACACCTGAAAGCAACAAAGAAGACAGAAAGAGAATTGGCTATCTGTTGTGCTAGCATTAAATTTCTAATCCACTGCTCTAAAGAATGGAAAACCCGAAGAGACTTTTAAGCAGGTGTTGGGTTTCGTGTGGGTTTGGTCTATTTGTGGTCCTGTGTGTGTGTGTATTTACATGTGCGTGTGCATTATGAGGCTTTGTACCTCTTTGAGAACCATGATCTGATCCAGGAAGTAAACACACTCGCTGGTGAAGAGTTCCCAGATGGCCTCCTGTCTTTTGAAGCCCTGAGGGTCAGAGGCGGCACTCACCTGGGAAGACTGGTCCTGCAGGAACTCTGCCAGAGAGTAGTCCTGCACATAGACATGCAGAAAAACAAATTAATGAACTAGAAATGTTAAAGTCTTTCTTAAAATACAGATAATTGAGACATTTATCTACAACCACCATCAAGTTTATATACATGTGTAGGATTGATCTAGATGGTCAGAAAAAAATGCCTTGAAATCCTGGTTCTTGCTCATTTGTTATTTAAACATGGCAGAAGCTTCCCTTTAACTGGCGTCCTGTTATTTGTGAGTCACTTGTTAAACACTTAGATCTATTTGATTTGGAAATCTGGATCTTAGTTGTTCAAAGTCTGACAGCTTGGATTAGAAGTCACTGCACAGTCAGAACCAACATGATGGTTTACATAACAAACAGCCTGGATGCTTAGGGGCTTTTGCTGCTGACAGTCTTTACTTCTCACCTTATACCTCTGAAGGTCAGAGTTTCTCCAGTCTTGAATCTGTGATGTTGAGAGACACTTTTCAATATCTGACGCTGTGCCTGTCTGTGACTTCCCTTTTGTCTGAAAGGTGAAGGACAACAGTTATATTAGGCAGATTTTGAAAAAGGACTTTCAGTTATGGATGTTTGTTGATCAAGGGAAAAGAATATGTTTGTGGATTTGTTATTTTGTTCAAATGTCCCTCCAAAATTAAACTCAAGTTCTGCATTTCATGTCTTGACCAATTACAAAAACTGTGGGCCAAAAGGGATAAGAAGAACCACATTAATCTGCTTTGAGAAGTGGGTCAGAGAACAATGTCCAAACCAACTGCTAAACAAAGCACACCAAAAACCAACCACAAGCACCACCACCATTGGCCCAGCATCAGCCACACACAACAATAACTAAAAAACAACACACCTACCGTACTACGCCTTGAAAAAGGCCACTTTGACTTCTTAGTATCTGTAAGAATCATAAACATAAGATACTGATTATTAACAAAAGAACAAGCAGGAATGTGTGCTGTGCAATAGATGGGATTAGAATCAAACAAACAAAACAGTGTGTCAGGATAAAAACTGTGGTGGACTTGGGACACTTAATGGCAAGTGTAAATGGTTCAGTTACTTTTGCAAAAATGAGTTTAAATTACATACAAATTAGCACACAAATACTGTACTGTATGTGCTTACTGGATTTGTTATGCAATGATCATTTTGATGTGAATAATTTCATTTGCATTCAAGGTTTCTCCCATATTTTATGGCCATCTCCCGGCGCACTCCCATAATTTGCATGGCCCTCAAACTTTATTATGAATAATCGTCATACACAGACCCAAGTTTTGTATGTTTGTCTGACGCCACCCAAGTTGAGATCATCTATGAAACACAATGTACACATGCAATCTGCACACTGAAAACAATTTCATCCTATCTGTCACGCAACCAGGCCACCCACAACCCGATCCAAGGGGTGAGTGCGCAGCTGCTCGCTGCGCAAAGAGACAAGACTGCCAACTTACCAGGGGCTATTTAATTGTGTTGACTAATAGCAATATATGTCAATTGGTTCATGTGGAAGCATCACTTAAAACAGCGGGTGGACCACCAGCACACTGTTGGGACTGACACGGGTACATGAGCCACTTGGTTCGCAAAGTAAGAAACAATACCATAAAAATTTACCAGAGAAGTTTGAATCATTTAATATGTCAGCTGCTCCATTGGATACAAAAAGGTCTCCTGGTGAAACATCCAATCCGGGCAAACTGACCACCACGGAGCTTCGTCTCCTTTCCTGAAGCCTGAGGGAACAATTAACAGGTGAGAAACTTCAGACGGGTTTTGATGGCTGCCAAACATGCTAAGGTTAAAACTGGTTGTAATGATTGACATATTCAAAGCATCCTCATTGGACATCTGAGATTCACTGTGACAAGAACCAGTATTATTCTATTGAAAAATGTAATACAGAGTGCAAGCCACAGGAAATAACAGAATTCCTTTTGTCCTTTTAGATGTTTGAAATACCACTGAAATACCATCTGCACTCTGCAGCAAATTGGCGATTAACATGAGTAGCAGAAATTATAAAGGATAAGTGTTATATGTCTGGCTTATGCATGGAAATCTGCTGGTTAATGGATCACCCTATTTGTGTGGAAGGAGACGAGCTGTCAGTGTGTGCCAGTTATAATCCTCTTGGTCTCCTTTTCATAGTTAGTAACCGAGGCATGGCTGTGGCTGGAAAAACACAGGCCTGCCTTTTAGCCTCAGGCAAAGCTCAAACAGCCACTGTTCTCAAGTGTTTTGACTTATCCTCTGCTGTTGTACTTCAGGGATTACTGCTGAAAGTAAAAATGGACTTTTGTGTGTTGAAATTATAAGCCAAAGACCCTACTGAATGTATTTCAATTATGTCATGGAGGTGTGGGTGATCTTAAACATGTATAGTCTACTAAATTTCTTGAAAGGGCATGGCCACATGAATGTTTTCCTTTGTTACAAAAATAACAGATTCTCAACATAGTAAAACTTGATCGGTGACTTGAACAATCACAATCCAAACAGTGGCAATGCTACCATGAGGCTTCTTGACATTTAACATGACTGCAGTCAGCAGACACAAGCAGGACACCAAAAGGACAGGTAGGTTTTGGCAAAAGGTAAGGTTCACTTTCAGCACCACACCATGCTGTGGTTTCAATCCTAGATTTTTCTGGCTCGTGTGGGTTTTTAAAAAGAACTGTTTAGAGTTCAGAAATAGATAAAACAATAACTGATAAAGGATAAATAATAACATAACATCGTTATAGAATCTATTTCACACCATTGGTAGATGATGATGCTAAACATATCCTCATTACATTGTGGTAGATCAACACGCTTTTTAATCTGATAAAGGTTATAAGGACGTGATCATAAGGAAGCCTAGCCTACAGAACAGGGCTAATGACCCCATTTATGACAATACAATAAACTGGAGCAGAAGTAAAAGCAAGAGGAACAATGCAGGTACTGGTTTGGTATATGTAAAATCTGCACTGTTAGACTGAATGGTCTTTCTTAGACTTTCTTCCTCTTAAAGCTCATTAATATCCCCTCATACAGTAGCTGCATTCTTCTGTTGTGCCTGCACTGTTGCACAAGTAGCAAACGAGACTAACTCAAATAACCATGTAGGCAACATGGATGCAGAGTCAACCTGTACACTTAGAGGATAAGGTGGCCTAAAACTGAACTGGTAAGTTTTTTTCCTCCAGGAGAAAACTGTGAAAGCAGCAACTGTTCGCTGCTCCCACTGGCTGGGGTCATGTTCTTCCTGGTAAACTGATACACCCCCCCGCCCCCCAACACCAGATCAATGTATAGACAGGCAGTTCTGAATCAACAGTAAAACAGATAAGAGTCAGCAGCAGCACATGAGCACTGTAGAGGAGACGTGGTGAATGGGACAGTAAGAGAGGCACGATAACTCTTCTAAACCAGGTCAGTGCTTCCTTGCAGCTCATTCCACAGCATCCTCACAATGACATCCTGTTGCTTTGTGACCGTTCAGAAAGCTTTCTCTGTGTCAGCCTTTCTAAGAACGCTTGTGAAAATGAGTGTTTTGTTCCCACACAACAACAGAAATAATGATGCCCAAAAACAAAACTGTCCCAACCAATAGCTCGCCGGGCCTGGTCACTGTAAGAGGCACAGTGCCAGGGTGCAATTACAGGGACAATAGCTGCCTAATTATCCAGTGAGGGGAATAGTCCGGCAGCCCATTGGGAGGGGTGTGGGTGACAGTAAGAGAAAACAGCCTTAATGAGTGTTTGTCTAGCCCATATATAACCATGGGACTCTCAAAACGTAACCCACCAAGTTTATGCTCCATTAACAAAGACATGAATGACAATACGCAATGGGGCTCCTTAAATCAAAGATCCAATGATTCTCACTTATGAGTGTCCCATCAGCACAACAGGCATGGCACTCGTGATGAAGTGACAAGATATGGCTCAAATTTTTTTGTTAGTGGAATGATTTGACACCGCTAGATTTGACAGTCGTTCACTATGGAAATTACAGACGGGTCAGAGGGACGAAACAAAACAAATGTGAGCGCTGTCGTCCAGTTTATCAGTTCCAGGAAAAGTTTTGCTACAGTACATTCCTGATATGCAAACATGTTCTCACAAACTTGAAAGGGAAGTCCTTGTGTATTTGGCTACACTGACAACATGCAAAACAGTCCAAGGTACACCTACCTGTCATGGTAATGCTCTTTCCCCTGCAAAAAAAGAGAAATATACTGCGTCAGTCAATGAAAAAATTGTAACTACTCTATACATTTAACACATCACTGTTTGCTGAAAACACATATTGTACTGAGATGATGAACCACTTTAGCACCTGCTTGAGAATTAGAAATAGGTTTTGAAGTTACAGCATAAATCAAAACAAGTCAAAATCTGATAATTGAACACGCTGAAAATAGATTCCAAAGTTGTAATTACTATACTATTTTCATGCCATATCAGCACTGTCATACTGTACACTCAGCATTAAATAGAGGGTGCAAATACCTCCTACTGCTAACGACACCACAATATCACTTTCAAAGACGTTCAAATTTGAATCAGTGTTTTAAGTGGTCACATGGATTCAAAAGCCTCTGAGATCTGTGGAGAATGCTGGGACTCTATTGAGAATGTGCTCGAGCTTGAATACCACGAGCTGATGAATAGATCTCCCCATTATCTTTTTCCATCGCTCACTGACCCCTCCATTATTGGGTGACTGCTGACTGTGGTGAATAGGGGCCCAAGGAGAGCACTTCCCAGGGCTCTCCAGGCACTGGGTTTGGTCAGAGCTGTCAGTGCATGTAACTGCTGATTCATTTGCTGTCAAAAGCTCGCATTGTGAGTGACCACCGCAGGAGGCAAAGCAGAATGAGGGAGAGAAGGTTTCTCCAAGGAAGGAATGTGTAACCATTTAAATGATAGGCTTTAGGTAAAAATCCTCACCAGACTACAGCAAATGACTCGTGGTGGGAAGAGGTTTGCAAGATGCTTAGGGAATCAAATGTTTTCTGCCCAACTATATACATATATATCCACAGTATATATATCTATAAATATAAAAACTAGATACCATTAATTCCCAACTCTGTTTGCAGAAATGCAGTGCCAAACTTGCAAGGAACCTCCACCATGCTTCACTGTTGCCTGAAGACACTCACGCTTGTACCGCCCTCCAGTCCTTCTGCTACAATGAAATATTTTAATTGAATATTTACTCATCAGTCAAGAGCATTTGCTGCCACTTTTCTGCACTCCTGTTCCTGTGTTTCCGTGCATAGCGGAGTCGCTAGGTCCTTGTTTCCATGTTGGTGGTATGGCTTTTTGGCTGCAAGTCTTCCATGAGGGCCACACTGTTTTCTGCTAGTTCTGAGCTGATGCCACTGCTGGACATCTTCTGATTGTGAAGAGAAGTAAGCATAATGTGTCTTTCATCTTCTGCAGAAAGTTTCTTTGGTCGAACACTGTGTCTACGGTCCTCAACTTTGCCTGTTTCTTTGTGCTTCTTCAAAAGAGCTTAGACAGCACATCTGGAAACCCCTGTCTGCCTTAACATTTCTGTCTGGGACAGACCTTGCTGATGCAGTATAACTACCTTATATCTTGTTGCTGTGCTCAGTCTTGCCATGCTGTATGACTTTTGACAGTAAACTGTCTTCCGCAGCCTCACCAATTTATGCTGCTGAAGGCAAAGGGTAGTCACATGAAATATTGATTTGATTTAGATTTGTATTCTGTTCACTCACTCTGTATTTTATTAATTGATTAATTAATAAAATAATGTCAATTAATTAATTGACAGCATTTTTCTACACCTGCCTGAAACTTTTGCGCAGTACTGTACATATATATTTACACACACACACACACACACACACACACACGCTTTAAAATTACACAGAAGACTGGTTAAAGTTTACCTGTACTTCACTGTCAGGAAATCCAAAATCTTCAATAAGAGTAGGATGAGCACTGCTACATTCTTGTCTCTTGGAAGTGATACCGTTGTCAAAAGTCTTTGATCTTTGTGATCTGATTCTCTGTCGGTTGGAGGACAAAATTGGCTGATGATCATGACAGATCTCGCCATCAGAGAGGGGGCTTGCTGCAAGAGAAGACTTGACTCTGTGTCCTGGGGACAGGGGGATTTCGGAGGATGGCTCCTCCTGAGTGCTACCCATCTTGACAGGATCCCAGGTATCCATCAGAGGACGTCGGGTGCTCCTCATCCTCCTTAAGGTGGGAGACGTGGAGATGCGCCCAGGGGCCTGCCTGTCAAACTGGAATAAAGGTGCTGCCAAGCTGTCTGTGTCCACCAGGGACGAATGTCTCAGCTTGGAGTGTGTCCGTGTGAGATCTATGTGCATAATGACCGGGCTGCTGGTCTGACTCTCCTTGTGCTCAAAAGGCCCCCATTCTGTTTGTGTCTGTGCATTTGCCACACCTGTGGTGACGACTTCATTTTCAGCCCACTCGATGTAACTCCAGTCCAGCTTCTTCTCAATGTCCTGGTCTTTATCCTGTAGAATAACGTGGTTCATCATAGACATTATGACCTCAAAGGCATTGTAAGTCAGCAAAGATCAGAAAAGGTGTGATCTAATGGCCTGGTTGCTTTGCCTCCACCTAGTTAAGGTCAGATGATAATCCTGTTACATTCCAACACTGTTCACAGCATTCACTTCCAAGCTTCTGGGGGGGGAGAAAGTAGAAACCGTGTCAATACCCACAAGCAAAATGAAGCAGGCTGAGCACAAAACTAACTCCTAATCTTCTGAAATGGGATTTCAAAATGGCCAGTTGGCAGTATAGTCGCCTAAAAAGATAAAGTACGAGTACAACACATCTCTCTCTTTCTCTCTCTCTCTCTCTGTGAAGAGGAGTAAACCAGTCAACAGGGGAACACGCATGCTGCAGCACATATTACAGTGCACAGTAACTGCATAGGTTGTCAATGTAAGTCTAAATAGTGTGGTATGAGACACAAAGAATCAAAGGATGCCCTGCACCTTATTTCAGCTCTCCTGGCCCATCATTTGGTCCATTGTTTGTACAGTGATATTGATAATTCTCGCCCTCTATATAAGCGACATAGGCTACACCTATTAACTATCCTTTTTATTCCCGCTGTTCCACCATATTGGCTTCATTTCATTGTTTATTCATAGCCGCGAGAGCTATTAACTCGACAAAAGTAAGAAGCAGAAACAACGTATGCGAAAGTTTACAGCAATAATCATCTGTAGTGAAACTCACCTGTGTGAAAGCAGAGAACGCACGTGCTCGTAAGGGAACTCATAAAAATTAATAAGTCTGGTTTACTTAGGCTACATCCACCGGTGTCTCGCGACGACTTGAACGACTGGTGGTGGAGTGAAGTGTGACCGGGAGAGTCCTGCTGCCGGTGTCAGAGGCAAACTGAGCCGGCTCAATACGGAGCTCATGGAGAGGGAGAAAGTCCCGACGGTGTTTCGAAACAGGTGTATGTTGCGGAGCTGCTCATAGCTGGAGCGGACGACAAGTGCGTCTGCACTGCCTGCCTGGGAACATGTCTCTCTCTCTCTTTCTCTTTCTCTCTCTCTCTTTCTCTTTCTCTCTCTCTCTCTCTCTCTCTCTCTCTCTCTCTCTCAGCTCAATAGACACCAGGAACAATAGCCTACGTAGTTACATGTGTAAGTATAAATTTGTCACAGAGGTATCACAGAAGATGGAAACAAATAAAGGAATAGAAAGAAGTGTAGCTATAGCCCTAGATTATAAGGACGTTCAGAATGTGCCTCCTCGTTTTGATAGGCTTTTTATTCTTTTCTCACAATTAACATTCAATTGGATATCTAATCTTATCATACATTGTATATTATTTTATCATTTGTAAAAAAAAAAATTGCAATGATTTCTTTTTCTTTCATCACGCCTGGCTGTACAGCTTAGAAGGCCATGGTGGAAGGACTCCCTTTACTTATAAGCAATACGTCTGAGTAAACATACTGTTACAAGTAAAATTCCTGCAGTTATAAGCAGCAAAATGAACCTTAAAGTGCCAAAAGTAAAAATAAATTTTAAGCCCTCTTCACAGTGTTATTTATTATAGGCTATGTATTATATTACATTATTATGCATTAAAGGATAAGCTGCATTTTAATGTTGCAGCTGATCCAGGTGGGGATCATTTTAAGTACTCCATATGATATTGGGTAGTTTAATCTATATAAATACATGATTTATTTGTTGATCAAGCTGTCAAATAGATGTAGATCAGGCAGATGTACATCAGGCAACTGTATGGTCATGATTATTTTAGATAAGATAATTTCAGTTTAACAGTTACAAGGGTAGGCTACCTCATCCATGGACTACAGGGCGTTTCTCCTACTCAGGAGTGAGTCTGCCATTATATAGCCTAACCAAGGGCGGATATTTCATGTCACTGTTGGTGGGGACAATAAAAACATCTTGCAGCAGGAAATTTTTTAGAAATAAAGTTGCATTAGAGAAGATGAGTACAGTAGCTATCAGAGCATGTGTGGATTAAGGCTAAACTCAAATAATGTAGGCCCTATTGAAAAATAAACACTCAATATGCGGCAAAAATAGCTTATATGTTTTATTTAAAAAACAACAACAAAACAATTGAGAACAGCAGACAGCTCTCTTTAATTCTGACCGGCCTCTGTCATGCTGTTGCTGCACTTTCTCTTTCCCTCCATCAGCTGTTGTGCGCCTCTACAGGAGAAAGACAGAGACCCGCATCTGCTTCTGTATGGCTGCTTTATATCAAGACAGCAGGATTATCATACAGGCCTAGCCGTATTCCTGATATTATATTTGCGATTGCAATTTCGATTTAATAGAACTGCTCTTATGTCCAGTTTACGGGAATTATTTGATCAAGGGCATATATTTCACGTCACTGTTGGTGGGGATAATAAAAACAAAAGATAGGCAGCGGATCAAACCACTGTGAGGCATGAGGGGGGAGGACATAATCTTTCACAATTTAAAAAACGCATTAGACTCGTAGTAGGGAACAAGAGCTGTTAACCGTTTGTGTACCAAATACATTTATTAGACGCTGACGGTCTACAGTGTTATATTTAATTGTTTTGATCAAAAGTATTGACTCTGCCCTCTTACACATCATCTCCTCTGCGGTTCCATTATTCCTATAGCATATGAAGTATAGTTTATAGGCCAACGTTCTAATTTTTTATTTTATATAATTAAGTTAATTAAAACAATTTTGTTACATTTTATGGTCTATAATCCCTCTAAAATCTATCAATTGTTACAACAATTTTTTATTTTTTTGCTGTCGATTATCCATATAGATTTGTATCACTGTGTCTCACCTGCAGACTGTGTATATGCCTGAGGAACCAGTTTTTGACGCCAGTATGAAAAATACTTTTCTGGTCCATTTATTGGCATTGAATGCACAGATATAGTCAGAGGGAGCAGCAAAATCATCCGTTTATTCAAAGTGAACACTAGAGGGCGACACAGGTCAGATAATAAGATTGCTTGTATTGCAGTGCAGTCTGACCCCTTTGAGGCTTGATTTCTAGGGGCAACTGATGTATCAAAATAAGCAGTACATTATTAGATTGTTAATACTGAGCTATTGATATGTAAGCAGTGTTTTACTGTTGTAGCTGGTTGGTTGTAGCTAGTTTTCACTTTATATAGGCTACAGCTTGGTAATTCAGTACAGTGGTCCCCAATATAGGGGTCAGGACCATCCACAGGGTCACAAAATAAATTTGAGGGGCGATGAGACAATTAATGGGGTAGGAAAGTTCAGATGCGTCATGCACCTTTTGGTGTTTCTCTAATATTTGGGGTGTTTTGCAAAATAGATAATTTTACCTCTTTTAGCCTTGAATGGTTGTTTGAATGACTGTTTAGAGGGGAAATGTCTCTTTGGTGGAACTGCTAACAACTCAGAGTCCTCTGAAATGACAAGGAGCCCTGCACTAGACACTATTCACAATACAAAAAGGTTGGGAACTACTGGTTTAATCAGTGACAATGCATTGTATTAAATACATGTATCATGGATTTTATATTTAAAATCCTAATCTGAAAAGTAAATAGTAACTATAGCTGCAAAATAAATGTAGTGCAGTAAAAATGATCACAGCATTTTTAGAAGTTCCAGAAGTTCACTACCAAACTTTTGTGATTTGTCTGGCAAGACACTGCCTGTGTGTGTGTGTGTGTGTGTGTGTGTGTGTGTGTGTGTGTGTGTGTATGTGTTAAATAATCATGCTTAACCTAATTATATTGATGTAAAGAAATCAGATAATGTGAAAACAGATTTCCACAGTTGTTGCTGTCTGCTGTCTTTATTTTTTTCTGCAAACATTTTTTAAGAGGTAAAGTAAGTGCTTGCCACTGGCAGGTTGTTAAACCTTCTTGTGATTTCTGTTTTGTTAATTTATTTATTACTTCTTGGTGATATGTTGCTAAAATTATCATTAAAATGTATTATTCCATCCTGCTTTCTTTCACAATAACAGCCTTCACTGCAGGTCATTTTTCAAATTTTATTTCAGCAGTTTATATTTCAAAATGTCTACTGAGAAAAGAAGCAGGCTGCAATAACATCTTGTCATGCAACATTCCAACAGAAACAAGTATGTTGCAGTCTATTAAGCATGTGATACATTCTCAGCTCCCAAAATATCTATATATGTTAGAAATGTAGGCTTACAATATCCCCTACAGCTATAGATATATTGCGATGTATCTATTCTAAAAGTTATTGTTGACTGACTTGCACTTTTCAGAAGGCCTCTCTGAATAAAAACAAACATGTCATTGAACGGAATTAGCTCACAGCCCTGACAGCAGCAGTCTCCTCCCACTGAAGTGGATGCGAAGAAGACCTCGGTCTGGTTTGTCTGACATACAGGAAGAAGTTGAATAAGTGTAAAAACACAGCGCTCTCTCAAAAAATAATCGCCACCAGTTTTTACACTTTTTCCTCCGTCGACTTGCTGAAATGTAGAGCTGGAAGAATGAAGGTGAAACCGAGGACTGCTGCTTAACTGGAGGTGCTGCAACGTGTGGATCACTTCACCAGAAGAGAAGTAGCCTACCATTCGTTTTTAAATGGGAAACCTGGACAGATCTTAACACGTTTACTCAGTGAAAATGTCAGAGCACAGATCCAGTTTTCTTCACATTGGAGACATTGTGTCTCTTTACGCAGAAGGCTCGGTGAATGGCTTCATCAGTACTTTGGGGTATGTTCCTCCTGTTTGCCTCTTACTTTCTACTCACTGGGGAGTCCATATGGATTAAACCTCATATCTTATTACTTTCAATTTACATCTGACACCACATCCCCGCCCTTCGTCTACGTTCACCGTGAACTAAGAGTAAACTTAAAATGTGCGACTTGTGGCCGAGGCCTGTCAGCGCGCAAAATGCCGCTTCTCAGGAAATTATTCACGTTTACGCAAATGTAACAGGAATGCAAAGCAGCGTGTAACCCTGGTATAAGAGCGGGAGTAGTTACAAGCAGATGTTTTTGCTAGGGCTCCCAAAGTTGGGTCCCGGAAGGCGACATGAGGCGGTGTCAGGGGGGCCCTCATAGTATCACTATCCTTCATTTGAAGTTAGGATAAGGGGTTAAAATCGATTTTCATGCTGCTCACTCACTCCTCCTCAAATGCTGCATGAAATTCCCCATTTATGTAGATCAACAATCAAAATATTTAGAGACATTTAGACCTATACAGATATTTGGGGTTTGTTGGACCATAATGAACAATTCTCCTCTAATAATCCTGATTTGGGAAACCAAAGTAACCAAAGAAGTGGAGCTAAAAAGAAGTTTCCAGCCAGATTCAGTCACTAGGTCCAGACCTCTCCAATGGGTCACAAGATAAATCCTAATGGGACAGGAAAGAAGATTTAATCAATGTTTCTATGAAATGTGTCACTTTTTTCAGCTTGTGATGAGGGTTTGCAAGTAGATTTTATTATAAGGGGTCACAATCGTAAAGAGTTTGGGGAACACACAAGTGTGACATGAGTCAGTCTGTTCTCTGACTTCATATTTAAAGCCGTGTGTAGGTGCGATGGAAACTTCTGTTCACCATGTCTTTCTCCACATGACATTGCAAAAAGTTTGTTTGGCTGCAGTTCCTCCTGAGCTGAACGCTTCAGTGCGAGGTGAAATGCTTCGGTGGTTCCGGGTGCACTCTGGCCTCTGAGCCTATAGAGCAAGCGTGGAGGCATCGACTGGCCCTGAGGAATGAGTCTGCCCCACCCACCTCCTCTGCCTTTTCCTCACCCTGTGTTTCTCACACTCACACTTTCCCTTTTCTCCCTTAAATTCCTCTTGCAAACAGTAACTTCACAACAGCTGTCATATTCTGCCGTTAAAGCCTCAAGATCAATATAAAACATGTTAGAAGCTTGACTTACAACCTGCTTATACGCAACAATATGCCCTGCCTCACTATCTGCAGGAGTGTACACAGCCAACCTACGTTATTTTAACTGTAAAGGCCCCTGCAAATGCAA